AAGGACTTAATAGATTCAGCCTCAGGAACTTAGGAACTCGGGCTGGGAGCGGAAGGCTGGCGGGTGAGGAGGGGGAAGGATGTAGGCGTGGGGAAAGAAGGGAGGTCCCATGGGTTTTGGGGCAGAACAACTGTCACAGCAGGCCTGGCCAAAGTTGCCACCACCCTCCGCCACGCGGGCTGACAGGCACTGGGTCTGGCTGCTCAGGAAGAGGCAGCAGGAAAGCCCGGAGTGGCCGCACCAACCCCTGCCCTGGCACCTGCTGCCTTTCACTTGAGCTTGGGGGCTGGCAGTTCAGTGGCCCCTCCTGAATTTGTGCTAGAGGAGCGTGGGGCTAAGAGAAAGGAGGGTTGCTATGGGAGCTCTAACACAGGCCCCAGGCTGGGGTCCCTGCAGGGCATGTGGTTCCACTCCAGCTCCTGACCATGGCTGCAACCGCAGCCATTCCTGCGGGATCCTGGGCCAATCACTCCCATTTGGCTCCCTGGAAGGTGAACCTGGCTTGATAGGGCTTTGGGGGACCTCAGAGAACCAGCCCATGGAGTTGGAAGCTAAGGGAGTCTAAAGTTGCGCTGGTCCAAACCTGACCTTCTATAGCCAAGGCCTGGAAGCCTAGAGAGTGGAAGGGACTTACTCAAGGCCACCCATAGGCAGAGAGCTGCAGGGGATCAGAACCCACAGCCAGCTGGCCTGAAGTGCAGGCTGGACTTCTGAACTACCCTCTGCTGGGACAGACAGGGCTCTGTCCTCCCTGAGTGGAACTCCTCTCCAGCCCGGGGCTCCAGGCTGAGCTGCTCATCCCAGACCACTTGACTTTCTCAGATATATTGCCTGGGAATTATCCTCTGCTGAAAAATCCGCAGGGTCTGAGCAGGGCCGCTGCTGGGGAGGGTGGAGACACCCGTGCAGCTCGCAGAGGCAGGGGTGTGTCAGGGGTCCTGGGGAGGTGCTGCCCAGCTCGGCTGGGGATAAAGGGAGACTTCGGGGAGATCCCAGAGAGGGCGGGCCTGAGGCCAGGCCGTCCGGTCATGGGTCTATTCCACTCACCCAAATTTAACTCCTGGTTAAATTTATAGCAGGTTCCTGCCTGGGACACCTTAGCAGCCTTTGCTTTGTTTACCGATTTAATTCCTTCAGATCAAAGGCTGCCCCTTCCTCCCTGAACAGGCAGACGGAGGAATGACATTATTTATATTGGAAATGGGCAAGGCTCCACGGGGACTTCTTCCTTATGCCTGATAAGAGAAAAATTAGGTCACTACCGTACCTCCCTGGCGTCTGCAGTTGGGTTTTTACAGCCCAGGTACTCACAGGCTCAGGGAAAACTCATGAGCAGAGTGTGGCCCACCTGGTTCTCTCCCACCCTCAGCCTCCAGTCAATTATTGACTTGAGCAGCGGGTATTAATGGGACAAAATAAGAACATCCTTCCCAGGCAGCTCCAGCCTGGAGTTATCTATCATTTCCTGGGCTTTGCAGCTGGCACTGGGCAAACACGGGCAGGGACAAACAGGCCAGCTGCAGGCTCATTAAGCTTGGGGTACAGGTGGAGGGGATGGAGGCCATGGGGGGGCCATGGGTGGGCCTGATCCCTCTGAGCTGTGACATCCCCTGGGTCACTATGGCTCTTTTCTCTCCTTCCTCCTGCCCTCTGCCCCCAAAAGAAGTATTCAGATAAAGAGCGACCATGTACTGAGGGGTGACGCACATCTAGGCAAGGTGCTTAGAGCTTTCTTAGAGCTAATCCCCACAAAACCCTATAATAATCCCATTTTACAGATGAAGAAACTGCAGTGGCCAATAGGCTGGGCAATTTACCTAGGTTCATGTGGCTGGTCAGTGGCCAAGCAGGAACCCAGGTTTGTCTGTGTTCGGAGGCAGGGAGGGCTCTGAGCTTCTCAGCTGTGCTCTTTCCAGCTCCCCCTGCAACTGGTGGTAGAGATTTCACATTTCTTCAGGCCAGCCACGTCTATTACTTGTTAAGTAATGGTAACACTGCAACAGGTCCACATCCCTTTTCTTAAAAACCTGAGTACATTTTGTTCCTGTTCTTCACGTTATCCTGGCAACATCCCCCGGGGTACCCAGAGGCATCACTGTCAACTGTCTTCTAAGGGGGTGGAAGCTCTGGCCCTTGGGCAGAAGGGAGAGCAGGTGCCCTCCACCTCTGCCCAGTGAGCCTGGCTTAGGGGAGGGGTGAGGTGCCTCTGGCTGCTCCAACTTCGGAGCCCTTCAGGAGTGTCTTGATTTCAGCTTAGAGGCAACATGGCAGGTGCTATTCTGGAGCCAACACCTTGGTGAGAAACGGGCATCAGTGGAAACCAGGAGAGGACATGGCGGGGGTTCCTCTCTGAGTCAGCTGGAGTCCTAGCTGGGCAGATAAACAGCCCTGTAATTTTCCCCAGGTGCTCCTGCCATGGCGCAGAGGTCCACAGCTGTCCCTCTGGAAGCGAGCTGTGGCCTTCCTACCGGAGCTGCGGCTGCAGGATCCTGCCATAATGCAGTAATGACAGGCTGCCAGGGAGCCCCACACAGCCCGGCAGGGGAGGGGGAGAGGAGCCCTTGGCCTCTCTGCTGGAGATGAGGCTGCCTGGGCTGTCTGAAAGGGAGACGGAGAACATTCGGGTGCCCGACTTTCTCTTCCCCAGACGGCTAAGAAATTGGATTAGATACAGTCACAGCAGTCTTCTTGCCAATACCTTTCCCCCCAGAGTTTTGCTGCCAACTCTTCATTATATGTGGGTGGCTCCTTATCCTCTCTGCCACATGAAGGCTTCTAGGGTAGGCAGCCCTGGGGAACAGCTGCCAGCACTCCCCACTCAGGCGAGGACCAACAGCAAAGAATGAAGTTCCGGCAGGGAGGACAGAATGAGCCACTTGGGGCTCCGATGGGACAGGCGGCAAATGCCACATGAAGCACTGAGGTCTGGCCTCCAGGGTCACCACAGACTAGAAAAAACGGCAAGGAATTCAGTGGATCTCCTATACCAAAATACCATTAGAATCAGTCACTGCAATCCTGTTATTAGTAATTCTAACTCTACTTAATGGGGAGCTCGGATCTCAGTGAGGTCACATTTACTATTTTGGTGGGGGGGTCGCGGTGTCTTTTATAGAAAGGTTAGGTAAAAATATTGCCTGGACGGCTTAAAATGACCGATATTTTTGAAGCGCTTTCTTTGGCTCAGACTACATAGAAAATCAAACTGCTCCCAATCACTTAAAATAACAATCTACATTTGAGAAATGAGTTTGTATTATTCATCTAACAAAAAGTCTAATTAGTTACCAATTTTTTTTTAATACGGCCTCACTGTGTCACAGTTTGTTTTTTTTTTTTTTTGAGACAGTCTCACTCCGTCACCCAGGTTGGAGTGCAGCGGCATGATCTCGGCTCACCACAGCCTCACACTCCCAAGTTCAAGTGATCCTCCCACCTCAGCCTCCCAAAAAGCTGGGCCTACAGATGCAGCCACCACACGTGGCTAAGTTTTTATTTTTTATTTTATTATTTTTTTGAGACAGAGTTCCACTCTTGTTACCCAGGCCGGAGTATAATGGCACGATCTCGGCTCACCACAACCTCCGCCTCCTGGGTTCAGGCAATTCTCCTCCCTCAGCCTCCTGAGTAGCTGGGATTATGGGCACACGCCACCACGCCCAGCTAATTTTTTGTATTTTTAGTAGAGACGGGGTTTCACCATGTTGACCAGGATGGTCTCGATCTCTTAACCTCGTGATCCACCCGCCTCAGCCTCCCAAAGTGCTGGGATTACAGGCGTGAGCCACTGCTCCCGGCATGTTTTTATTTTTTTTGTAGAGATGGGGTCTTTCTATGTAGCTCAGGTTGACCAATTCTATATATCCAAAGCTAACAACAAATTGTTAAACACTTTTCATATTCTCTAGTCTATCCCGTTTAAATATCTTTCTTAAAAAAACCAAAACAGTGAACTCCAACATTTTGGAAAGATCTTGTGTATTTTGATCGGCTGTTTTCCCCACTGGCTTGTGCAATGGAAACCTGATGTACATCCTGACAAGTGTGTGGAACGGGTCCCTCAGACGTCCTGGCAGCCACACCGTGCCATCTGAATCTGCGGCTGGGGTCGCAGTGCTTCAGGACAGTTATCCTATAGAAGTTCTGGTCTTCATAAAGGACTTTTGTTGAGAAAATAAAAACAAAACCCAAACCAGAACCTCTGCAGTGGTGATGTCCAACGTGAAGTGCAAATGTCGTGTAGCCTGACAGCAACTGCGTCCCATTTACTCTGCAGACAGCGCCTGGGCCTCAGGGGCTCTGCCTGCACCCCCAGAGCCTGGAATGCCGAAAGTGGAAATGTCTGGAAGGATTGCCCAGTCCAGCTCCTTGGTTTTCTGGTCTGAAATCATGGATGGGCAGGGACCACAGAGAGGAAATGGAGGTGCTGGGACGCCATGCAGGGCTCTCACCCAGTTCCCTGAGAAAGAGGGAGGGAATTCCCTGGAGAAGGTGTCATTAGGGGCACTGTGGAAGGAGGTGATTTTGTTTTTTTTCAGATGGAGTTTTGCTCTTGTTGCCCAGACTAGAGTGCAATGGCACCATCTCGGCTCACGGCAACCTCTGCCTTCTGGGTTCAAGTGATTCTCCTGTCTCAGCCTCCCGAGTAGCTGAGACTATAAGCATGAGCCACCACACCCAGCTAAAGTTTTGTATTTTTAGTAGAGATGGGGTTTCACCATATTGGCCAGGCTGGTCTCAAACCCCTGACCTTGTGATCTGCCCACCTCGGCCTCCTAAAGGGCTGGGATTACAGGCATGAGCCACCGCGCCCGGCCAAAAGGAGGTGATTCATTTGCCACCAAAGACAAGGGGTCAGAGTTTATGAAGGCTCGGGCAGTCAGGTACAGCAGAGGGCTCATTTCTCCACAGAACCCCATGAGACGGCCCCCCACCCAGCCGCGTGCTTGACCCCTCAATGGCCTGAGCAACAGGCAAACTGAGGAAGCCCAAGACAAATATTTTCCAGCTTAGAATTTTTATTAAAACAATCATTTAAATTACAATAGTTCCCCAGAATAGAAAATAGCCTTCCACGGTCTGGCCCTGACAGGAGGCAGGACTCGGGCCCAAAGGAAGAAGTGACTTTGACATCTTTGAAAATGGATGGCGCTTCCCTGAAAGCCCTGGAGGGCAGGTTTGGCCCCAGGGCCACTGGGCCAGGCTGGCTCCCTACCAAGGCTGCTCCTCCAGGGGTGGCGAGGCCCCGCCCTGTCAGTGAGGAACACTTAGTCACTGAGGCTGGTTGTCAGCCTCTGGGCTTTTGAAAAAGAGAGGAAGAGAGAGAAACCTGTCCCCAAAATTACAAGACACAGCCACTCATTAAGTGTTATGTGATGCCACGGGGTCTGTCCAGCAGGGCCTGGCAGGTACATTGATAACGGGGTGGACAACACAGGTTGGGGACTGCTGTGGCTGACATGGGACCCCAATCAGGATGAATGAAGCGGTCTGTGCTGCACAGCTGTGCATGGCTACCGGCCAACAGGGTAGCCTTGCAGATACCATGAGCTGGGCAGTGACCTCACGAAGGGTCCCAGTGCCATGGGGCTTCTGCCCAAGAGCCAGCAGAAGGGCTCGTGATGAAATCACCATGGGCAGGATGCCACTCTATGGGCTTCTGAGACTTCCTTACTTGACAAGCTCCCAGGCCCTAAAACGTTCACTTAAAAAGGATGCAGTCATCCCAGCCGCAGGCACCAGTCTCTGAAAATCAGGCATCTCTTTCTTTCTCCTGCTACTGAGGCTTGAGACCCACCTGGGGCCCATCCTCCTCTCCACCTTCTCCGTCTGTGGGGGAGGCACCTCGGATTCCTGCCTCAAGGAGGGGGAAGTGCTTGTGATTGCGCGAGGTCCTGCAGTCCTGAGCCTGCTCCCCGGAGCCCCAGGTGCTTCTGCCACAGCTCAAACACCAGCCAGCTCCCTTGAGGCCGCGTGGCACTTCCCAGTCTTCAGAAGTACACACAGCAGTTAAATAAGGAAACAAAGCACCACAAGTTTTTATAAACCACCATTATGCTCTGGCCTGCAGTCACTATTAAAGAATAAATTTACAGGTCGGGAGGAAAGTAACTCCTGGTGGAAATCCAGGGATGGGCTTTAAGACAGAAGAGAGGCCGGGCTTGGTGGCTCACACCTGTAATGCCATCACTTTGGGAGGCCAAGTGGGCGGATCACCTGAGGTCAGGAGTTTGAGACCAGTCTGGCCAACATGGCAAAACCCTGTCTCTACTAAAAATACAAAAATTAGCCGGGTGTGGTGGCACACACCTGCAATCCCAGCTACTTGGGAGGCTGAGGCAGGAGACTTTTGTACCCGGGAGGTGGAGGTTGCAGTGAGCTGAGATTGCGTCACTGCACTCCAGCCTGGGCGTTAGAGCAAGACTCCATCTCGAAAAAAAAAAGAAGACTGAAGAGACAGAGCCACAACACAAGAGTCAGACCTCACTTTACAAACACCTGAAGCTTCTGCTCCTGGCTGGGACAGACTAGGAAGACACAGGGCCACAGCATCTACACTTAGGCTCCAGGTCTGGAGTCCCACCCTGCAGACCATCAGCAGCTGGGTGGTACCCAGGGCTGGTTTCTTGGGGGCAAGGTGGCCCAAGCAGGTGCCGAGCAGCCTGACCCCATTAGGTCAGCCTGATAGTGGGAAGAAGGCAGGATCTCTGTGAGCTTCTCAGCTTCTCAAAACCAGATGGAATTGCCAGAGACCAACTCTGCTCTCCAAAAATCTCTAGGCCCCCATAGTGCCTCCAGTTACTGAGTCTTTTATCTGATTAAGACGAATCACCTGCTTTGCATAATAGCCCAACTGGAAGGATCTCAAGGGCCCTGGCTGGTCACAGCAGCATCAGCCATGGAGAAAAGAAAGGGCAAGAAGGGGCTGGCTTCGGTGGTGGTGGTGCAAGCCTGTAATCCCAGGTGTGAGTTTGAGACCAACCTGGCTAACATGGCAAAACCCTGTCTCTATTAAAAATACAAAAAATTAGAGCCGGGCGTGGTGGCTCACACCTGTAATCCCAGCACTTTGGGAGACTGAGGCGGGCAGATTGCAATGTCAGGAGATCAAGATCATCCTGGCTAAGATAGTGAAACCCCATCTCTACTAAAAATACAAAAAATTAGCTGGGCGTGGTGGCAGGCGCCTGTAATCCCAGCTACTAGGGAGGCTGAGGCATGAAAATCCCTTGAACCCGGGAAGTGGAGGTTGCAGTGAACTAGCTGAGATCAGTCCACTACACTCCAGCCTGGGTGACAGAGCAAGACTCTGTCTCAAAAAAAAAAAAAAAAAAAAAAATTAGCCAGGTGTGGTAGTGCACTCCTATAGTTCCAGCTACTCCGGAGGCTGACAGAGGAGAATCGCTCCAACCCAGGAGGCGGAGGTTGCAGAGAGCCGAGATTGCACCAGCACTCCAGCCTGGGCAACAGAGAGACTCCATCTCAAAAACAAAAACAAAAACCAAGGAGTGAAGTGAGTAAGCCGTGGGGGTGGTTCTGTGACCTTCTTCTGCCTGGTATGGAGGTGGGTCCTGTGTCAGCTGGAGGCGCCACCTGTGAGTGGACACCTGCAACAAGTCTGTGCGGGGAGGGGCACAAAGGGCCCTGGCTGGCCCCTGGGGAACAGAAAATTCAGGGCCCGAAGGGGGACAAGGGCAACAGCAAAGTGAGGGCTGGGTACAACAGTGGGTTGGGAAGTGATCTGTGCCCATTGGCATGTGGCCAGGAGGGAAGGTGAAGCAGATGGGCCGTGCAGAGTGGGCCACAGAGCTCGGAGTCTGGCCCAGTGAGAAGCCGCACCTGTAGGGCCACAGGGCTTCCAGATCCTCGGTCACAGCGGGTTCCGGGTGCTAACTACAGCACGATCAGGTAGTGCCCAGTGCCATACAGGTAGGAGTGCCTATGGCTGCCGGGCAATAGGGAAGACATGAGTGGCTCCCACCTGCCTCTTGGACCCTGGTCTAGGGTAGCCGGAGGGGGACACTGAGTGCCTCGTACCGTCAGTTCCTGCAAGGCACTGCTTGCCTCCCAGCCCCTCGGCTGGCAGTCAGCCTGCATCACAGCTTCTGCCTAAAGTCTCTCCCAGCCACAGCTGCCTTGCCTATTCCCCACCAGCTGCCAGCCAGAGCGCCGCCTCGGGGCGCCTGGCGGGGACCCAACACTTGCTTGTCACGAGCTCTGGGCGGGCTCCCTAACGATGAGAAGCTGGCAGTCATGCTGGGCCTGGGCTCTGCCAGGCTGGGCTACTTCACTGCATGCCAGGTCCTCACCTGTGGGGCAATGAATGTTCTGGAACCCTGGGTGGAGTGGGGATGATGGCACTGGCCTCTCAGGGCTTCAGTATCCCACTCCCTACAACAGCTTCCCTGGATGGGTGCTGGAGATCAGCTCTGGAGTGCAAGACACACACACCCCAGGGAGCCTCGGACAATGGGAGTCAGGAATCCCACATTAGACAAAGGAAGACAAATACTTCTTAAAACAAAGACTCAAGTCAGAGAACTAGGACACCATGAGAGAAATCTCTACAGGGTTGTAGTTCAAGGCAATTGCACATAAGAGGGGCTGGGCTCTTCACTCAGCTGGGGAAAGTTCTGGAGTTCCCATGGAAACCCCCAGCCAGCTCCCTATGGATGGCTCTCTTGGTGTCTGGTCCATCGGGCGGTGCTGGGAGCAGAGGTTGCAGGTCCTAGGGTGGCTGGGTCACCTGCTAGAGCTCTTCAAAGAAGGCCACTCGGGACTTGGCGCTCTGCAAGGTAAGCTGTAAGAGAGCAGAGAAGAGGTTGAGAGGGCACGAGATCTCAGCTGTCACACAGGGTCCTGTCCTGCCACCTGGACTCACCTCAAAGGTGGTTAAGAGCAAAAGGGAAGGCTGCTCAAATAGACGCTCAAGAAGTTGGCGGTCAGTCCCACAAAAGCAGCCAGATTTGCCCATGAATTCAAATTAGGAGGTGACAAATGAGGAAGTGCAAGGGGAGGGCTGGTGGGCAGAGGCACGCCAGCAGGAACAAGCCGTCAGCACTGCCCCTTGACAGAGGACCGAAGATCCCTGGCTATTTGAATAGATTCTCACATTCCTGTCTCCCAAGGTCCCTGAGCCACTTCTGCGATGTCCTGTCTGTGGTGGCACCACCTGGGGCTGCTCACCCCCTCTGGGCTTGGCAGGGCAAGCATCTTAGTCCTCATGCCCCATGGCTGGGGCAAGGCGACGTGGCCTCCTGCAAGGCAGGCCTGTGGCAGATGAGGAAGAGTTTACCTCTTCTACTCCTGGTTCCCCAGGTGGTCCCAAAGCAAACTTGCCCATGGCCCAGCAGCTGAGAAGGGGTTTCTCTCCACGAGCTGGGAGGCAATGGCTTTCTCAGTGGTGCTGGTGCAGGCAGGGAGGGCTGGTGCACATGGGCAGCACTCTGCCCAGCAATGTAAAGAAGGACAGAGTGAGGGAGATGTGGAGGAGGATGGGGCGGATCAGGGACTGAACTCTTGGCTTGAAGTTTGCGACCTCCTAAGCCCCTGACTCTGGGCCACTTCCCAGCATCTCCCTGGACAGAAGAATCTGGAGCCAGCACTCTCCCTATTCCCTGCTCTCCACTGACTCCTGAAATCAATGCCCTGGGTGTGACCATGTTCCATTTCCAGCTCTGGGACTTCCTGCAGGAGCTCAGAGGTAGAGGCCAGGGAGTCTGCACCGTTCATCTTCACATCCCCAAAATACCTGGCTTAGTGCTATGTGCTGATCAGGAGTTCAAACAGTATTTGTTAAGTGACCAGTATGTTGGCTATGATGATAACTAAACAGTGAGGTGTGTGGGAGAGGCCAGAGCTCCCCACGGGCTGAGAAGGTCTGGGAGCTCACTCTTCAGCTCACCGCAGACAGCCTTGACCTCTTTGAGCCTCTTTCCTCTGGAGGTTGCCACGGGGCAGGCAAGATGGTCTGCCCCATCCTCTTGACCCCTCAAGTCTGCATGTGAAAAGTCCTCAGTCCTATCGGTGGCTGCATAAAGGGGAGGGAGACTCCAAACCGACCACTTCACCATCAGAAGACAGGCAGCATTAGTGTGCTCAGAATGAGACAGCTTGAGAGCGACTCCATACATCCTGCCAAATCTTTTGGCCTTGAAGTTCCCAACTAACAAGCGGAATGTGGGGAGGCAGCTGAGCTGCTTTCTTCAGCGGAACTCATTTCAGAGCCCTCTGGAAAGCCCCATTCTGATGGGAACGGAGAGCGCTTTTTTGCCTAAGTGGAACTCCCTGTAGAAGGGAGCTGCGTCAGGACGGGCTTCTCCCTAAATGTACTTGGAGAAGGGCCAGGAGTTATGTGCCCTGTGATGATGGGAACCAGGATGGTCACTCCCCTGGTGAAAGAAGGAAGAGATTTAGCTGCCAGAGAACTACCGCAGCAAAAATGGGAGAGGGTTTAAATGTAAGGATGTAAGCGCAGTGTCTCCACTCAGGTTTCTGAGATTAACAGCCACTTTCAGTCAGACACAGGCACAGTCAGCTGCCTGGTACAAGGCCCAGCTGGGCTATTGACCAGCTGTGTGGCCCTGGGCAGGTCACTTGCTCCCCTCTGGCCTCAGTTCCTCACTGTGAAGCAGGAGCGATGGTAGCCCTTTCCTTGTGGGGTGGGGTGTGATGCACTCAGCATTGCGCCTGGCGCATGGTGGAACTCGGCAGCTGTAATTGCTAATAGCAGCGTCGCGTTTCTCCCCTCCCCAGCCCTGGCTCCTCTCCTTCCAGGGGGAAACAGGGTGCTCTTTAGGAAGGGATGCAGGCAACAGCAGGGTTGCATACGGTGCTGGCCACCACGCCTACCAGGCAGGCCAAGTGATGCCCCCATGAGGCCTCTGGCCACTTACCCAGGCAGGAAGCCCAGGCTGTGGGGGTCTTGAGAGGCTCCTGGCCATTTGTGCAATGTTGGCTCCAAGAATTCCTGGATCCTCCACCTGAGGAGCATGGTGGCTGTCCCCTTGAGGTGCCAGGGGAGGGTTCTGGCAGCGCCAGCAGCACCAAATTCCAGTGACTCAAGCATGTGCTGATTAGGACGCAGAGAGCTCTCAGGTGGGCGGGCTGCTTCCTGAGCCCCACCCCAGCTGCACCTCAGCCCCATCTCTTATCTTGCAAGAGCAGGAACTTCGCCTCAGCCCCAAGGAAAGGTAGAGAGGGAAATCAGTCTGCCCACACAGAATTAGGAAGGCACCACAGCCAGTGGGCAGGAGGAGAGAGAGCCGCAGTCTTCCAGAAAGCATTGAGGCGGTCAGAGGGAAGGCAGACCCACCAGACCGAGGCGGCTGAGACCTGGCTGCGCTGGTCAGTAATGGCTGCTGCCCAAGGGCCCTGGAAGCCTTCTGCCATCACTGCTTGGCCCACAGACAGACCTGGCTGCTGCCCCACCCTTTACCCTCCGTGTGAAATTCCTGTGGTTTCCAGTCCCCACAGGATCCCTGGAGTCAGAAGTGACTGCACAATGGTCCTCCCTGCTGCTGGAGTGGCCCTTCCAGCCACGCCCATGGCTCTGCTTCCACCTCTTTGTATCCTTTATCTCAGACCCCAGCAGGTGAGGAAGGCAGGCAGTGAGACAAGTAGAGTCCTTGGGCTTCTTTCCTGCAGGTAGAAGCTCAGGGCAGCCATTCGCCCTTGGACAGTTTTTCTACAGAAAGCTTGGGAAGCCTCCCCATGGGGCACGCAAACAGTTCTGCCACCTGCACGCCCTGCCTGGGCACTGCCTCACCCCTCCAGTGGGCAGGCTCCTCACCTGTGGATCTTTCACCATCTGCTGCTTCTAGAAAACTCACTGGCTGCCACATTTGCAACACAGCCACAGGCAGGAAGTATTCACAAAGGAACAGGCAAAAGCTCAGAAGAAATGGCAAAAAGCTAGCCCTTCATAAAATCAACTCTGCCTCCACGTCTTCTTTTTAAACACATGAAAACTGGCTAACAAGTTTCCTGGTTCCCCTGTGATGCTCTCATACCCTAAGGTGTGCAGGCCCGCCAGTGTTAGGTACATCTTCCAATACAGCGACCAGCCCGGCTCCCTCTACACCGCCCAGCAACACCTGTTTGCTAGAGCCAGAAGGTGCTGTGGAGAGAGTCCCATGAAGGCCCTCCCTTGTCCTATGTTGCACTGTGAGTTGAGAGCCTTGAAGCCACTCTGGTGAGTCCCATCCCCTCTCCGAATTCCAAACAAAAATGCTCCCTTTGGCAATCCAGAAACAGCCCTCCCCTTCCCAGCCTTGCCTGCTTGGAAAGTGGAGTCCCCCAGAGGGTGGGGAATTCCTAGCACATACAATGTGTATGTTGAAGGTTATCCAGGAAGAGGAGGTCTCCAAATTTCAGCAGGCGATGAAGCAGGAGCACCTCAGGGTGTACAAGCAGGGTCTCAAGGACAATGTCTGCACCAGTCCGGGACCTACCAAGTCTGGTCAACTGCCTTTGAATCCTGAAGACGAGTGGGCCACGCTCTGGTGAGTGTGACCAGTGACATCTGCCATGTGCTCTCCTTCAAAACTCTCACTGAAGGCCGGGTGCGGTGGCTCAAGCCTGTAATCCCAGCACTTTGAGAGGCCGAGGCAGGTGGATCACGAGGTCAAGAGATCGAGACCATCCTGGTCAACAAGGTGAAACCCGTCTCTACTAAAAATACAAAAATTAGCTGGGCATGGTGGCGCGTGACTGTAATCCCAGCTACTCGGGAGGCTGAGGCAGGAGAATTGCTTGAACCCAGGAGGCGGAGGTTGTGGTGAGCCGAGATCGTGCCACTGCACTCCAGTCTGGGTAACAACAGCGAAACTCTGTAAAAAAAAAAAAAAAAAAAAAAACAACTCTCACTGAATCTAGACGAGGTCCAACCATGGGAGTCCTGCAGCCGGGCCCAGCTCCTTGGGCAGGCTATAAACCCAAGGGCCCTGCTCAGAGTCTCCAACCCAAAGCACTCCTGCCAGCTCCCTGAATATGCCTACAAGAACATGAAGCCTCCGCACCAGGCACGGGCTAACCCACTGCTCTTCTCCAGCTGTCTCTTCACATCTGATTAGAATCAGCCGCGTGAATAACACAGGAGGAATTAAGTTCTCTCTCAACTGAACCGGCTGCTCGAGTCTGTCACTAATCCAATTCCATTCTGAAGATGAACTTCCTTTTCTTCCTCTGGGGCAGATCTGTGAGGCTTTGTTGCTATCTTACTGTTCATCTTCACAGCTGATCCACTTGTTGGGGCCTGGCTCTTCTTGCCCAACATCAAGACTCAGCCCTGGCAGAGTCCCTTTCCCCCTGCCCACCTCTCCATAAAACTGCCAGCTGTTTGTGACAGCCAGCAGGCTGTGAGAGGGCAGGGGAGAACTTACGAGAGTTCCACTCTGGCAGAGCCACGACTCCTTACGCTCCCCAAATTGTGCGTGGTGTGACAAAAACAGACACATCTACCTGATCTAAACAAGTTCAGATTCAGGAGACACATCTGTCTACTTAAAAAGAGAGAAGCGGCCGGTTAAAAGAAACTGGTACCCAGCCTGCACTCTCTAACCCAGGCATGCCATCTGCAGCCTCAACTGTTCCTGCTCACTGCTACCTGAGGATTCTGGGTGGGCCATTAAGGTACTCCTGAGAAATGGCCCCAGGGTCTGGAGAAAGCAAGCCTGGAAGGTCCCTGTGACAAACATTTCCCTGCTGCCCTGCCAGCAGAGGAAGGCTTCCAGCTACAAAGCCTCCACCAGCATCGTTCCTGAGAGTGCCCCCTGCTGGAAAACCACAGCCCAAGGCACACTGCCAACTCTCCTTCCAGCTCTCCTCTAAAAGTCCTTTTGGGGGATAGTTTCCCAAAGTGATGGCAGGGTAACTAAATGTATTCCGGCATGAAGCCTGCAGCAGCAAGGCTGCTTGATTAAGAATGAATTACACTTTCATCAGCACAGAGAGAAAATTGATTCACAAGGCTGCATTGTGATCATCTTGTTCCTAAAGCAAGGGGAGGTGGGGGGAGACACAGAGCCACTTTGGCTATCAGTGGTGAGAGAAAGGAAGATGTACAATTAAGCCAGGGAACAAAACTAATCAGAGCGCCAGGATTCCTTCAGCTCGTCTCTGGGGGCTTTGCCTCAATCCACTCATCCCAAGGGAGGAGAAAAGAAGGCGGCAGAGGACCATCTCATTCATTTTAAACAATAAGACTCATAGCGCTGAACCCATTTTAGATACTAACCTAATAACTCCAGGCGCTGGGTCTCGGCTTGTCCCATAAAAATGCAGTGGAATTGAAATGCGAGCCCTAAAATCATGTTATACTTCCTCTTTGCTACTACATATTGAAAATGAAGGAGCGGGGGAGGGTGTAGACACAAAAGGACACGCAGATTCTCTGGCACGCAGATCCACAGGGAGAAAGCAGACTCGGAGCAGAAAGGTGACAGCTGAATCCAGTAGCAGCAAATTCCAAAAGGATCTTTGGTTTGGGGTGTGGGAAACCTTCCCCCTTCCAAATGAGCCAAGAGGAAGGGCCAGTGAAGGGGGATGGCTGTGTGAGGTGGCCAGATCAAGCTTTTCTGCAGTCTCGCTAGGGACAGCTTGCACCCAAATGCCATCTGCTGATGTGCACAGTGGCAGCACTATCCACACACTTACCCTACACAGAGGTGGAATGAAAGGCCAAGTCCACCCCAAAGAACAAATCCAATTTGGTATTAGCTACTTTATCTGCTCTCAAGAGAAATCTGCCGTGGAAAACCCAAGGAACCCTTTTTGCGTATTAATCCCTGAGGAACCCAAAGCGGCAGAAGCTGCCTGGAAACCTGTCTGCCTGTTTCTCAGGCTGCCCTGTGGTGCCGGCGGGGCCCTCAATCCTCCATTCCTTCGCCTGACAAATGGCCTAATGGGCCTGATTCACCTCACTGGGCAGGTGGCGGCTAAATGGTATCTACTGAGTGGTCTGAGCAAGTGCCTTAGGAAAAAGGTCCAGATAGACTGATGTCATTTTAAAATTGCCAACATCAAAAGAGAAATCACAGCAAAGATCATGAGAACAGAACCTCGGCCCGCAGAATGAGTTTGCATCCCGGCTCTTCCCTCCCACTGCTGCAGCAGCAAATCCAGTGCTGGAGGAGAGCTGCACTCAAACATATCTTCAGTGCCGAGGGGCCAAATGGGATGTTTTACTGCATCAAATAAGGCCTGGTAATATCCTCAGGCACTTCCAAATGGTCGTAAAATACCCTCCGCAGGCCAGGCAGGCTCTTCTACACCTCCCAAACAACAACTGCTTGACCGGGTAAAGTCTCTTAACCCAAAACAGGATTGGCTTGCAGACTTTTGGAAAAGAGGCCGATACATTCTTCTATCTAGAGCTACCAGAAACAAGAAAACTAAGCTCTCAACAGTGACAAGACTCATCCAGTGTGTGTGAGTGGTGGGAGTGGCCTTCAGGGATGAGCCCAAGGTGTTATATCCTGGAGAAGCGCTACCTGCAGTTCCTAATGCCTTCCCTGTGCGTCCACAGAGCCAGTGGGTGGAGAGTCAGAGTTCCGATAGCCACGGCAATCTCTTCCATGAGCGCTATGCCCACATCTGGTGGTGGTGCTGCTGCTCCCTGTACATTCTTGCTCCCCGCCCCACTCCCCACTCCTCTTTCTTTCCTTCCCCATCTTACCCCTGCCTTGCTCCAGCAACAAGAAAGGGAAGGTTCAGGGCTGGGGAGCCAGTGTGCTACCTTTTATGTCAAGGCTGAGGATGCTCTACAATACAATGCCCAGTTCCTAAAGCAAGCAGAGCCATTTGGCCCACTGGGGTCATAAGGAGGGATGGGCATGTTAACTACCTACTAAATTTAAGTAATTTAGCAGCCATCTTCCAGGCTGGCAATGCAGACCAGAGGTTGCCACGGAGGCTCTGACCACTTGTTTTAATTGTGGGAGACACCTTTCCCGCATATGCAATCTCTCTCTGTGATTTATCACTTCCCCTCGTGTTTTTTTTTAACTGTTCTACTTCACTTCACCAGCTCTGCATCCCCAAAGGGAGCCTGCACAAATTGAAGATGACATTGAACTTTTATGTCTTCCTGATCCAAGAGAAGCTGCTGGCGCTTGAGATAAATGCAAGGCTCCTCTTCTTCCTGTTCCTCCTTCAGTGGAAACCACAGCTGGACCTTGACGGTTCAAACCATTTACTAATGAAATAAGCTTTCTAAGCTCCACCACCCCCATGATTTCTCATCCATCAATTTCCTTGGAAATCCTGTGCTCCCTGGGAGACCACAGGCACGCAAATGATGACTCTGTTTGCTGGCACTCAGACCAGTGCAGGATTGGGAGACTGAAACCCCTCTCAAGAGATGAAAGCAAGACCCTGAATGTATATATCCAGGACTGCATTTTCAGCTCCAAGGTGTGGTGGCACAGTTATGCCACACCAAGCCACCACTCCCATCATCAGCACTGTGGCTCTGAAAGCACGAAAGTCAGGCTCAAGGCACCCTGTGTCCCCCAATCCCAGCCTGACTGCCAGATTCACTCCATTCACTCAGAAGGCTCAGATGTCAGAACACGTGTCACTCCCTCTGAGAATGAAACAAATCCAGGTTCCCCAGGGCGGCTTTTGATTGCTAGCACTGCTGTGACTCAGATGCAAATGCCAAACTAGTTGTACTGATCATCAATTGGGAAAAATGGAAATATAGGAAGTTAAGATTAGCAAGAGGAGAAAAAATATCCTTGCAAAGCCAAGTCATATATTACAAGGAACTAGTGAAGTTAATTATAGCTTTTTGAAAGTTTTTACTTCTAGCCACGTAGCAATTAATATAATGAATGAATATGCCCAGCACAAGTTGTGCACCTAGATGTGGCAGTGTGGCCCATGACACCGTCCTTGGCCCTGTGCTGCGGAACCACAGCAGATTTTCCCTTTGTGGAGTTTTAAGCCCCTGCTGCCCTCTGACTGCGCTGAGTGTTTCATGCACACTCCCTCATTTATTCCTCACAACAGTCCTGGGGAGCAAAGACTGTTTTTATTCACCTTTTACAGGTGAGGACACTGTGCCTCAAGAGAGTAAGAATTGTAGAGAAAGACAGTGGCCGAGAAGTGGGAACCTCAGTTAATCCGAGTGGATGGCCACTCAGCATTCCTGAGGGACTGGAGTTACCCCTCATAACCTAAGGGCAAACCCCTTGAACTAGCTTCTTGTTACATGGCCCCCATGGGTACTGCTGAAACCACACAGCATACTCTGAGACCTCTCAGTGAGGCAGAAGAGTACTGAAAGTGAGGACAAATACAATGGCCAGGCAAGACTGCTCATGTCTGTAATCCCAGCATTTTGGGAGGCCGTGGCGGGAAGACCACTTGAGCTCAGGAGTTCAAGACCAGCCTGGACAACATGGGGAAACCCATATTTACAAAAACAAAAATAAATCAGTCAAGCATGGTGGCATGTGCCTGTAGTCTCAGCTACTTGGGAGGCTAAGTTGGGAGGTTTGCATGAGCCTAGAAGGTCGAGGCTGTCACCAATGTGGGTGAAAGACTGAGACCCTCTCTCAAAAAAAAAAAAAAACAAAACAAAAAACCATATTAAAAACAAAACAGGCCAGGAACAGTGGCTCACTTTGGTAATCCCAGCACTCTGGGAGGCAGAGGTGGGAGGATCGGCTGAGCCCAGGAGTTCAAGACCAGCCTGGGCAACATGGCAAAACCCCATCTCTACACAAGATACAAAAATCAGTTGAGTGTGGTGGCTAGTCCCAGCTACTTGGGAGGCTGAGGCAGGAGGATCACTTGAGCCTGGGAAGTGGAGGCTGCAGTGAGCTGAGATCACACCAGCCTGGGTAACAGAGAGAGACACTGTCTCAAAACAAAACAAAACTAACACCAATGCAGGCTGCTTTGAACCCAGATTAGCGAGCTTTTGGGACACTGGAAACTGTTCCATTCACTACCAGCCTTTGCATCTCTCATCCGCAGGCTTTCTAGATGGAGTTCTGCCCTTGATATCTAGATATCCCCACATCCAAGCCGAAAGCAGCACTTCTCTTCAGCTAGGCTTGTGTCAGCCAGACTACAGCATGCACCACCCCAGAGCCACCCTGGTGCCGGCATGTGGCTGGTCATCAGTCCCGGTCACTGACCACAGGGACTGCCAAAGTCTAGAAAATGGAACGTGCAGTGAACTTCATGTGCAGCAGAATTTAATCGTGCAGCGTTATTTAATCTAGCGATGCTGAGAGAACACCTGTCATTTAAATATCAAGTCCATGCCTTTACTAACCCTTGATTAACCAGTATCTGATTAACTGCCTGGCAGCCTGCTTTAAAAACAAGTTCACATCAAGACATTGAAATGAGCGAACAAATAAATGCATCCATGTATGTCCTCAGAGCAGTGCAAATTTAACTAAAAATGAAACTTCTTTTGTCTGTAGTAAAAGCCCAGTGAGAAATGACAGTCAAAATCAGGACCTGAAGAATTTAAGAATTTAAGCATTCTTTCATTATAGAAAGAAGCAAAAGGAAATCACACTGGGGTTGAGCAGCATCTGCCCATGGAGGGAACACCTGGCAGCACTGGCTGGAATACAGCGGGGTTTTCTGCTTGCCCCCGTGGTTCACAAAGTTCAGTAAACCAAGGTGGATCCACCTGGCTGTTCTGGGTGCCGTGAACTGGCCTGCCTGTCATAATGCTGGCCGTAACTGCCCTGCTTAAAGCACGCACTGTTCTGTGTCAGGGTATCAATGCCAATGTGGGTATGAAAGCTGAAGAAACAGGAGCCTGCTAAATAGAAAGTGTCACATATGAAACAGGGTTCATGCCATGGATTCTTGGAACCACTGACAGCTCGAGTGTACCTTATAATAAGATCTATCAGGGACTTTAACAGCTGACCTCTCTTGATGGCATAACAACCACAAGTAGGACCTATCTTATGCCAGATCTCTTTTTGGTAGGAAGCTTCCAATGAGCTTATTCTATTCTACAGGCAGAAACTGCGGGGAAGACTCCAGAGAACACATCCCAGGCTGCTGGCAGGTGGTGGGGGCTTGTTGGCATGGGTACTACTGAGGATTAGGTGAGAAGAAGAGGCAGGATGTCATTTTATTACTGGACAAAATAAATTCTCTCCCCTGCCTAGGCATGCTGAAAGAATAATGAACTGTTGCAGAAGAAAAGCAGCAAACTTCAGTTAATTCACTCAGCAACCAGTGACCGCTCCTCTCAGGGGTGCTGTGACTGCACTGTTCCACTGTGAGTTCACTCCGACCACATCTCCGCTCAGCCTGTGGAGAGGAAGCTGAAGCAGAGGCGGCTGAGCACAGATGAGCAGACAGGCCACTCCCCATGGACTCAAACATCAGAACCCTGTGCTCTGGGTTTGCTTTATTTGAAAAGAAAAGGGATGTGTATAGAAAGGGGAAGCTCTAAAGGAAAATGAGCCAGCACAGGCAACCCCTTCACCCGACAACAGAAGCTGCCAGGTGTGACCATGGGTCTTGAGAGGCTGTCACCACATGAAAGGTCTTGATCTCGAGTTAAAGATACCAGTCTCAAAAGTGCCCAGATTGACCCCATTTCCATGCTAGGGTTATTTATCTAAGGAATACGCCACCAAGACAAAGGACTTTTAGACACACCTGACTGGACAAGAAGCCATAACCTTCCCCAGCCCAAGAATGACATGAGATGGAAAGAATGGCTGGTCCTACAGCCCCATGACATGCTCTTTGGAACGAGGCAGTCTTCTGGGTCCCTGGAGGCTGGTCTGGCTCCACAGGGCGGATGCCTGCCTTAGACTCAAAGCATGCTGCGGCCAGTACCCAGGCACCACCTGCCCTCGAGAGGGCTCAGTGTGGCCCAAGGACAGAGACAGGCAAGCTCATGCACGGGTTAGTATCACAGAGGGCAGTACCATCACCACACAGAGAGTACCTGGGAACAACCTACTTTGAGGACTCAAATGCAGATAGGTCTTCTGCCTTGGGCTTGAGGCTAAACCAGCAAAATAAAATAAGAAAAACAAAAACATACCCTGTGATATCAACAATGCCACAAGTGACATTTGCAAAATGCTTGGATAGGCCTGAAATCGTGACGAGTGATTTTGTTCGTTTTAGTGGCTTGGAACGGGTCTCTTCCGCTTTCAGCACTGCAGGTTTTTGTGGCTGAGGCCCCTGCTCATTACAGCAGCGGTGGAAAGGGTGAGACTGCTCCTGGGACCCAGATGACAAGGCTGGAGGTAAGGGGTGAGGTGGGGTGTCTGAGGCAGCTCATTTAAGGGCTGATTGGCTCATTGGCCCAGTCATCAGTTTTTCTCTTTCCTTAATGGCTGAGGCCTCCCTCGAACTCCCCTTTACTGCTTAATAATTTTGTTTTGGAAGGAAAGCCCAGTAAATTATAGAAGCCAGAGGAAAGAACAATGTGGAATGTGGACATGCCTTTCCTTCTAGGCTGTGCTATTTAAAGGAATCCTCTACCCGGTGCCAGTTGTGACTGGAGTCAAGAGGTAGAAGTCAGGGCTCCCTACTGCCCCCAACAACAGTGGCAGGTAGAAACTGATTCCCTGGAGTTTCAGATACAGCCTAACCACTAAACACAGAGGCCTCCCAAAGAACAACTGCTTGACTGGGCAAAGTCTCTTAACCAAAAACAGGATTGGCTTGTAGACTTTTGGAAAAGAGGTGGATACCTTCTTCTATCGAGAGCTACCAGAAACAAGCAAGAAAACTAAGCTCTCAACAGTGACAAGACCCCAGGAACTTAAAGGGAAGCCCTTTAGTAAAACTGGAAGCCCATTTTAAAGACTGAGGTAAAGAGTAAAAATTAATTAACTATATCAGTATTACCTACTCAATGGGCAGTCCTCTTTTTTTTTTTTTTTTTTTTTGAGATGGAGTCTCGCTCTGTTGCCTAGGCTGGAGTGCAGTGGTGCGATCTCGGCTCACTGTAATTTCCGCCTCCTGGGTTCAAGTGATTCTCCTGCCTCAGCCTCCCTAGTAGCTGGGACTACAGGTGCACACCACCACGCCCAGCTAATTTTTGTAATTTTAGTAGATACAGGGTTTCACCATATTGGTCAGGCTGGTCTCGAACTCTTGACCTCAGGTGATCCACCTGCCTCGGCCTCCCAAAGAGCCACTCTTATCTTAATAACATCTATTTTACAGGTGTTAACCTGATCCAGGGCTATCAGTTAAAAGCAGAGCATTATTTGGCAAGAGAGGACCCTTCTGCTTGGCCCAAATGAGAGAGGTATGCTCTTGGGCTGATAATTAATATGGAAATTAGGTTCTGAATCTCAACAATGCTGAAAGCTCAAAATACAAATGGAGAAAGATATGAAACTATTTGCAACGTAATGAAGTCTTCTCTTTTAAAACAAAGAGGTCCTCTCCTACATACTTCCTTTTAAGTAGGAAAACAAGTTAAAAATTCAGTTTTGTTTTATAGTCCTTGTCACTTAAAGACACAGCAAGTCTAGAGGGAAAGTCCATTCTCAATACCCTCCATTTCATTCTGCTTTCTCATTAAGTAAAGCAGCTCCCTGAGCATAACACCCCTTGGCTTAAAAGGGCATTATGCTTTACTGCTAAATAATGGCTCAAAACCCACCCTGTAACAGGGGTTCATTATATCAGAGCTTTTAACACAAGCTCAACTTCCATCAAGCCAATGGGTTCATAGTCATTGGCAGATTAAAATTCCCTTTCTGGCATGAGTCAAAAAATTTCCTCAACTAAGTACATACAAAAGATGCCAACAGTCTAGTGACTTGGCTACTGAGGAAACCAGCTGCCAACCTCACATTTCATTAACGACTGTCCTGATCAGCAAAATACAAGAAAGAGACCCTGGGTACCTTTTTAATGGTATTGTGCTTGCTGCTGCCACCCCTGTCGGAGTTCTCGTTGTGCAGAATATCCAGGGACGTCTCCCTCTCTTTCAGTTTCAAAGCCTCGATTTCTGTCTTGAGTTCATTGAGCTGCTCCTGCAGATGCTTGCTCTTTTCCATGTATTCCACTCTGCCAGCAAGAGGGTATCGTGCATCAGGGTTTGGGCTCAGATGCTCTGTGGCCCACAAGCTGCTTGGCACGGGACCTAGGGTCTGAGGCCTGGGGTTCACATCTCTACTTGGCCACTCACAGGCTGTGGGAGCTTGGAGTGGTCACTGCTGTGAATGTTTCCTCATCATTAAAATTGGGATAATGATCACAGGGCCGTGGTCAGGATTAAGTTTTAAAAAGTGTAGGAGGCCAGGCACAGTGGCTCCCCTGGAATCCCAGCACTTTGGGTGGCTGAGGCAGGAGGATTGCTTCAGTCCAGGAGTTGGAGACCAGCCTGGGAAACATAATGAGATCCTGTGTCTATTAAAAGAAAAAAAAGAAAAAGAAAAAAGAGAGGAGAAAAAAGAAAAGAAAAAGAGTAGGAAAGCCCTCAGTAAATTCTCATAGGGGGCTCTACAAATACCAGCTGTCACAGATAGCTTTTCATTCTGTAACGAAAACATGAAACAAACTTCCTGGCAACCCAGAACAATCTCCTTGTCTTGACCCTTCTTGGAGCAGTAATTCAATAACCTCTTTTTTTTTTTTTGGATAGGATCTTGCTATGCTGCCAAGGCTGGTCTTGAACTCCTGGCCTGGAAGTGCTGGGATTATAGGCATAAGCCACAGCGCCCAGCCTCACATGATTTCTTTTGATAGGCCACATCCATACTCCCACATGTTCTGAGACTTCATCTGAAGATGACAGAAGCTTACTCAGAAGCTCACGGAATGCAAGGAAAAAAAGATCCCCACCCTCACCTGAGAACAGATACACTGAGTGACAGCATCTATGATGGTGAAAATCTAGAAACCACCCACAAAGTGTCCAACTACAAGGGCATGGCCAGGAAAAACATGCAACACAAATATCAAGGAACACTCTGTAGGGATTGCCATAGTTACATGTGCAAGGGTAAGAAGTGCCATGGGCCGAATGTTTGTGTCTCCTCAAAACTCCTATGTTGAAACCTAATCGCCAATGTGAAGGTGTTAGGAGGTGGGACCTCTGGGAGGTCATGAGGGTAGAGCCTCACAAATGGAATTAGCACCCTTATAAAAGAGGCTCCAGAGAGATCCCTCATCCCTTCCACTGCATGAGCACATAGTGACAAGGCGCCGACTATGAACCAGGCAGATTCTACCTCTGCCCATGCCTTGATCTTGGCCTTCCCAGCTTCCTGAACTGTAAGAAATCAATTTCTTTCTTTTTTTTTTTTCTTTTGAGACAGGGTGTCTCTCTGTTGCCCCAGCTGGAGTGCAGTAGTGAGATCTGAGCTCACTGCAACCTCTGCCTCCCAGGCTCAAGCAATCCTCCCACCTCAACCTTGTGAGTAGCTGGGACCACAGGCATGTGACACTGCACCCACCTAATTTGTGTATTTTTAGTAGAAATGGGGTTTTGCCATGTTGCCCAGGCTGATCTTGAACTCCTGGCTCAAGACATCTGCCCGCCTTGGCCTCCCAAAGTGCTGGTATTATAGGCATGAGCCACCATGCCTGGCTAAGAAATAAATTTCTGTTGTCTGTAAGCTACCCAGCCTCTGGTATTTTGTTACAGTAGCCAAAACAAATTAAGATAGTAACAAAATGCAAACTATAAAATAGCAGACACAGAATAGCTTCACCCCTATCCCCAGTCCCAACCACATAAATATATATGTCTGGATAACAGTGAAAGGAACATGGACAGCAGATATGACGGCTAGAGGCTCTGGTTCACTGGCTAAGTGTGAGAGCCCAAAGAGAAACAGCCTGGGTTGTGGTTGCTCGTGCTGGACTCCATGGAGACACTTTCCCCAAAGGGTTTTCCTGAGGATGCTACCCATGGGGAAAGCACATGGAAGGCAGAGTCAGGTGGGTGAGGGGTTTTAACCCCAGGGCTCCTCTGCATCAGCTGTGTGACGCTGGGGGAGTTCATTAAACTCTCTAAATCCGAGTTCTCACTTAGAAAATGGGGACATGAAAACCTACCTTTGATGTCAGTTTGATGTTTGTTAACTAGTAGGAATTAAATGGACAAAAGCCAAAACCCCTGACACACAGGGACTCGATGCATGCCGGCTACTGTAGTTGTCCTCCGGCAGGCGGCGGCAGTTTACCGCGAGTTCTGGGAACTAGGGGCCCTTGCTTAGACTGCCTCTGCAGAGGGGATCCTTTCCATCTCTGACCCAATTCTACTACCATCAAGGGAAAACAGAGGCTGCAGAGAGGGAAGCTCAGCAAAAGCTGCCATGATCAGGCCGTGCTGGGGCCCTGGCAAGCGCCACCCACTGCAGCAAAGTGGGCCCCACCTGGCTGTCGGCCTTCTTCAGCCTAGAGCCTGAGTCTATTCTCACCTTTGTTTGTTCTAGACGTGGGAACCATCACAGATCCCAGTCACTGGAGAACGCAACTAGGAGACGACCATAGTCTAGTACAACAGCAGCTGAACCGACCCGGAGATGCTAACAACCCAGTCCTACACTTCACATGAGGTTTGGAGCCACCATAAATGCCAGGTCACCAGTCAAATGTCTTTTTTATCCTGGAAGAATGAATGTTGATCTGTTGTCCCTTAATTTCTGATTAAGGAAATTCTTTCTCCAGGGAGTAAGAACAGAGGAAACCTTTGCAGGAGCTAATGGCAGGCTGCTGCAGCGACCCCTCACCTCTGCCCCGGCCTCCCAAGGGCCCCGTCACTCTAGTTCACGGCCGCCCACAGCAGGGCACAGGGGCTACATACTTTTCTTTCTCTATCTCCATGGAAAGCCGCTTCATGTCAGTATCCTTGAAGTCGAAAGACAGGCTGTCACCAATGAGGTTGAAGCTTGGTATGTCAGGAGGCAGCGGTGCTGGAATTGGGTTCATGGGCTATTAATGAGAAACCTCAGATTAGGAGCTTCGGGTCATACAAGAACAGAAGGGCACTACTGTGCTGACAACCAATCCTCCAGCAGCCACAGGGTGATGGGCACAACTCAGGTCCCACCTCCCAGTGCCACCACAAGCCTCCATCCCTCCACTTCAGTTCCTCCACATTTGCCACTGCCAGGTGGACAATACCAAAGAATATAAATCCAGGAAAATCCTCCCTCATCCTTCAAATTTTTAACCATTCTTCACGCTCAGTTGAATCAAACACAAACTCCCACTTGCTTTTTCATTTAGGAAACTCCTGGGCCCTTTGTGAGGGGCTGGAGATGCTGAAAACAAGACATCGTCCCTGGCTCTGAGCAGCTGAAAGTCTTGTTCAGGAAATAGATGTGTTCACAGATCATCACTGTTAAATAAGGTAAACACTGTAGCCAGGAAGCGAACAGAGGCTAGAAGAGATGCTGCTTTTGCTGGGAATCCAGGCAGTGCCAGGAGAAGGTTTGCCGGTGGGAGGCATGGCAGCAGGCTGGGCAGTGCCCAGTAAGGGTACCAGGAGTCTGCCATGTGAAGAGGAGGGGTGGGAGATGGGCACCACCACAAAGGGCTCTACCTGCCCACCGAGGGGTTTAGGCTTGGACAATGGAACCAGAGTATGGCTTGAAGCAGGAGTGATGAAATTAGATTTTTTTTTACTTTCATCCCAGAACAAAGGGTCTTCTAAAGAGGGCCCCAATCTAGCTCCCCAGCTTCTCCCATGATTTGCCCTGCTAAGTCCCAGACCGTACTTTTTAAGATCCCTGGACTACTGCTTTCCCGTTTCGGTACCCTTGCCTATCCCATTTCTCCTCCCTATACTTCATCCCTCTTTCAAGGCTCTTCTCAAATACCACAGTCTCTCACCAAAGCCTTTCTAGCTCCTCCCAGCCAGCCAGCAACCCTTTTCTTTGCTGTCCCTTAACGCTGTGTTTATGGTTCTCTAATGGCTCTTTTTACAGCGATTCCATCCTGTAAAAGATTTCTTTTTGGCTGTGTCTTTCTACTATTTGCAAGTTTCCTGCAAACGATCTGCCTCTTTTTCATCCTTGTATCCCTTATTAAGTCCAGGACAGTGTCTGGGAAAGAGCAGAGGCTTGACACATTCATTTGAGACACTTTCAAGGCCTGAGGCAGACCGTCTGCAAGGGTGGCAAGAGAAGGCTCCTGGGGTGCCAGGGACATCCTGTTTTCTGATCTGGGTGCTGGGTACATGGGTATGTTCAGTTTGTGAAAATTCTTCAAGCTGTATAGTTGTAATTTCGGCACTTCTCTATATGTATGTTATACGTCATAAAAATTTCCAGAAAAAACAAGTTCTAGTTGCTGTAGCACTAGTGAGAGCATGAACTGGGACGACTTCTTTGGAGAGTATCGAAATGGAAAATTTGACCCCACAGTTCTATTATGAGAATTTATTCTACCAGTATATCCCTGTGTGTGTGTCAAGATTTGTGTTCAGGGATGTTCAGTGCTATTTTGCTCAAAACTGCAAAAGAAAACAGACTAAATACTCATCCATGAGGGACTGGTTAAATGAATTATAATCCATCTACACAATAAAACTTGATTAAAAAGGTGATATGAATCATCTCCTCTAGGATTGACTGCTAAGAGGAAAGAGTGGATACAGCAGTGTATAAAGTTTGCTCCAGTGTGTATTTTAAAAACAACACATAGACTGGGCGCGGTGGCTCACACCTATAATCCCAGCACTTTGGGAAGCTGAGGCGAGCAGATCACTTGAGCTTAGGAGTTTGAGACCAGCCTGGGCCACATGTCAAAACCCTGTCCCTACCAAACACACACACACAAAATTAGCTGGGTGTGGTGACGCACACCTATGGTCCCAGCTTCTCAAGAGACAGAGGCGGGAGGATCGCTTGAGCCTAGGAGGTAGAGGTTGCACTGAGCCGAGATTGTGCCACCGCACTCCAGCCTGGGTGACAGAGTGAAACTCTCTAAATAAATTTTAAAAAAAAGTAATAATAAATAAAAACAACACACACATCAGTAATAATAAATAAAAACAACACACACATCTCAAGTGTTCAGCCAAGCTGAGGGCTCAGATGACTACAGTCCCAGCTACCATCTGACTGTGACCACCAGAGAGATCCCCAGCAAGGATCTCTGTCTGGCCCAGTCAACCCAACCAGCCACCAGAGGTACTAATAAAGGGTTGTTTTGGGCCACACGGTTGGCTTGGGTGGGTTGTTACATAGTAATAGAGAACCAGGATATATGACAACAGCAAACTGCTTACATTTCCCCCACCTTGAACCCCAGGCAGCTTGTGCCTCTGGTGCTCTTTGTGCATCTGTGTCATGTATGTGCCTGTGCCATGTGCATGAATGTATGTATGGGTATGTGTGTGTTTGTCTGTGCTGTGTGTGGATGTGCCATGTGCATGACTGTGCCGTGTATGAGTCTGGGCCATGTGTGCATCTGTGCCCTCATCCTGAATACCCTATGTTCTCTTCTCCACCTGGCTACTTCCTGTTCCTACTTCAAGCTTCAGTGCAGACACCATACTGAGCCTCTCCTGCCCCTCCAGGATGGGCTGTGTCCTCCTCCTCTAGGCACCCATGCACCCTGAGAACACCTGTCAGGATAGAGACTTCCAACTATGTGGCACAATGTGGATACAGAACAAATATGCAAAAAAAAAAAAAAGTGCTGAACTGAATGCACAGAAGAAAGGAAGGAAAGAGGCTTCTATTCATTTTGTGACCCCATTTAATAGGAAGTCTGCCTCTCTGTCCTGAAACTGAGATTGGCTGCTCATTCTTGCACAGCAATAATTCACTCTGAGATGTACAGCCAATCCCTTCCCAAAACTATAATTATGATATATGGTATATACTGATAGTTGAAGATTACATTCAGCTCAGCATTAAGAGGCAAGAGAGCAAATTCTCTTGAGGATAATCTGGGACTATATTACTTAGAACATGAAAAAGATTCCAGAGCTGGAAAAGGCCCTGTTGCCTATTATCTAGGCAACCAGAGAGACAACTAACTAGTCCAAAGCCAAATGGCAGACCAGGGTGTTTTACCCAGTCCCTAACTGCAGGCTCTCTGCACCTCTCATCCTGCCATGCGTTTACTTGAATGGTCAGCCTGAAGGCACTGCCAGATGAACCGAAGGGCCGGAAGGAAAGAGAATATCACCAGGGCTAAGGCAGCCCCAGGTGGCAACCCCACAGGCTCACCGGGTACGTGGGCTTGGTGGCGATCTCCAGGAGCTTTTGCTTGGCTCTTCGCTCCGCCTCACGCGCTTCCTGCAGGTCCTGCTTCAGCTGATCGGCCTCTTTGGCCCTGCAAGGAAAGGAGGAGATGTCAGCATCACAGAACAGGGCAGGTGGAGGGAAAAGACCCCACCCTACCTGTGCAAAGGAGAGACCTTGGTTAACCCTGAGGATGGTACCTGAAGAGGCGAAAAAGGACAGCGGGACAGGGACATTTACATGAAAACTTCCAAAGCAAGGACAACACTCCTGAAGATTTTCATTTGAGCTGGTAAATCTAAACTGGAAGAGCAGGAAAACTGGTGGGGAATGAGAGAAACCAGACCGTCTGCAGCCGGGAGAGGGAGGAGCTGGAGGAAGCACCAGCAGCTTTCTCTGCTTTATTTTTGGGTGAAAGTAAGCTGGGCAAAGGAAAAGCCTGGAGGATCAAAGTTCTTATATCGGATCGCAAAGCGCAGTATATGCAAGAGCTGTGTCTTCACAGTCCCCGGGTAAAACACCTGCAGGCCTTGTGCCCACTTTCTCCAGCAGGAAGATGAGCCCTGTCACTGAGGGCACTGCACCTTGGTGAAGATCCTCACCCTGCGGGGCTTGGGGTGGACACAGCATGTGAGGCTTGGCACAGGGACCTGGCCCAACCTGCATCACAGGTTGTGTGTGTGCAGTCCCTAGTCCAAGCCAAATGGCAGACCAGGGTGTTCTATCCAGTCCCTAACTGCAGGCTCTCTGCACCTCATCTGCCATGTACAGGGAGTGTGACCTGCATACAGCAAGGGGGCCGAAGCAGGACAGGCAAAAAGAAACCATATTCCCAGAATGACATGCAAAGAGTGGTAAGGAAACTGTAGTGAATGCACCTTGGTAACTAAAAGCCAAATTCAAGTGCTCTAAATCAACAGCCAAAAGCTGTGGGGAATGTGTCAGTGTTTATCTGAAGGTTGCAGGCCTAGAATAGTCTTTCAAAAGTACAGACAACAGTTCCATCCTTCAACCTGGCCATGAGTGGGACATACCAGTCACAGAGACTATCCTAGCCCTCCTCCCCCATGTGCCAAGGAAGGCTGGGGGATGCAGGCACTAGTTTCCCTTTAAAGGTAAGCAGCTGCTGTTCTGCAGCTCCACCGAATGAAAGCAGAAAAGAACCTTGTTATTGTTGTTTTTTTTTAATGAACAAAGAGCCTTCTCACGTCTCTTCAGCTGAAAGCAGTCTGTGGATATACTCAGGGGTTTTCCTGCATACACGGCCATCAGAGGGTCAGGGGCTTATCACAGAGGTACAAGCCCGACCAGAGAGGTGCACCTGGCAGGAGAACTGAGTTCCTATGCCCATCCGGTAGCGCCAGCCCCAAACTGGATGAAGCATCAGTCGCCATTGGCAAAGAAGTAGCCTCCCTCCAGTCCAGAAGATGGGGAAGCAGCTTGAGGATGGCTGCTATGGAGCTCAGCCTCAGGGCAGGCTGGACTGTGGCCCTTCACCAGCCTCCTCACCAGTCTGGTGCTCAGCGTCCCCTCACCTTCTCTCTGACTCCTCAGCCATCTTCAGGGCCAACACCTCGGCCTCTAGCACCTTCTGCTCCATCAGGCGCTTCTCCTCCTCCGTGCGAATGGCTGTGGCCTTGATGCGTTGCATTTCCTGCTCGGCCTCTGCAGCCTTCTGGGCCAGAAGTTTTGCCTCCTCCTCGGTGATCTGGGCCTTTTCAGCCAACAGGTCAGCCGTCTCCTCGGATCGCATCTGGAAGGCACGGGGCTCTTAGCTAAAGTGGGATCATGTGCTATTCTCCCGCCCAGATCTGCCTTAAAAACAGAAATAGAACAAACCAGAGTCTTGGACTCCTGGGGCCCTGCTGCTGAGTGCCCCCCATGACCCTCTGACAAGAGGTGACAAGCCACATTCTCCAGCTTTTCAGAAGGGCCCTTCGGGCTGCACCCATGGGGAACAAAAAGAGCACCTCCTCTGAGTACCCACTTCAGCTCAGGCTTATGTGTCACGCGGAGAAAAACAACTTAAACTCTGTTCTTTCCCTTTAAATCAGTGGTTCGAACCAGAGGAGCTTTTTGTTCCCTGCAAGAGACTTGTAGCAGGCTGGGCATGGTGGCTCATGCCTGTAATCCTAGCACTTTGGGAGGCCAAGGCGGGCAGATCACTTGAGGTCAGGAGTTCAAGACCAGGCTGGCTAACATGGTAACACCCCGTTTCTACTAAAAGCACAAAAAAATTAGCCGAGTGTGGTGGCACGCGCCTGTGATCCCAGCTACTTGGGAGGCTGAGGCAGGAGAATCAGTTGAACCTGGGAGGCGGAGGTTGCAGTGAGCTGAGATCGTACCATTATACTCCAGCCTGGGCAACAAGAGCAAAATATCATCTCAAAAAAAAAAAAAAAAGAGACGTGGCAATGTCTGAAGATGCTTTGATTGTTACAAACGGAAGGTGAGGTGCTGCTACTGGCATCTAGCTCACAACAAAGGATAGTCAGTCCCAAATATCAGTAGTGCCCAGGCTATAAAGGCAACCTCGTGGTGAAAGTGGAATTTGGCTGCACATGAGCTAACCTAAATCTGCTTCTGCCAACACAGGTGGAAAGAAAAGCCAGTAACTTTTTTAAAAGCTGAAATAAAGTATATCAAAGCAAATGCTGGTAACTCATGGTCCTCAGGAGACTGAGCTCCAGAAAAGCCCAGGAAGTCCCCAGGTAGCCTCCTGGAACCCCGGTCCCTCAGAAATCACCAGTGCTTCATTGGCCATTGTTGCTTCTTCTTTCAGCTGCAGCAGCCTCCTCTCCAACTCATCCCTCGTGCGTTCAGCCTCCTCCCTCATCTGCTTCTCTCGAGCGAGGCGCTGCCGCTCCATCTGCAGGGGGTGAAGAAAAACAGTCATCAAACCACAGGGCTCAAGACCTAGGTGCCATAAGGGACCAAAGATGCCCCATCTCCAGAATCTCCCCATTTCCTAAAGGAAAGGGAACTTTTTCTTCCCTTTCCTTTAGGAAGCCAGGGTCATTCTTATTGCCCTGTAACCTTGTCCTTCTAAACCAGTTGCAGAGTGGAAAGTTGTGCCCCTTGAAAAAAAATTCTAACAGTGAATGAACAAACGAACAAACAAAAAAACAAGCCAAGCCTTGACCTGGATAGAAAGAGGCATTCTTATACACGGTGCACTGAAATGGCTACCTTGCCAATGATGCTTCTTATTGGCGGCTCTGGCCGGTGGCTGATGGGATGCAATGCAGGATCTCCTCTCTAAGACAGAGCCCCAGAAATAAGCAGCTTTCTCATCTGGTTAGGCAAGCCAGCTCACCATTTCTAATCCACGTGGACCCCTCTCACATCTCTGATTTCATCAACAATAGCTCCACTCTTGCCTCTGACCCACAGAGAAGATGGAATCATTCTGCATGATGCATCAACAGTTCACACATTGTATTTCACAGTGGGGAGCTGCAACGGCCACAGCACAGACTTGCACAGCCTCACGCAGAGACAACTCCTGAGCCAGGCCTATGACAGGAGGAAGCCAGGCGGGGAACACAGCCCCCTGTCCTTAAGGCAACAGTACAAAGCCACCACCACCTCCCTTGCCTTCTGGATCACTGCATTAATTGGACCACATGCTGAGCTTAATAAGGGGAACAAGCACAAAACAGTGCCATTCCTCTGTGATCTCAGGGTACTAACTGAGTTCAAAAAGCAGAATCCAGAAGTGACCACTGCACTATTTTCTGCCTTAAATAATTAATGCACATTTAATTACTTCTTGCTTCAATCTTATCCCACACTCTGGTCTTATAAGGTTTCTAAAACTGCTTCTTCTAAATCCTAAGCCAAAAAAATTTTATTTTATACACACACACACACACACACACACACCCCACATCGGAGCTTGAAAGGATAATGCAAAGAGAAGCAATAAAACAGTAAAAGTTCTCCAGTTTTCTTCTTGCAAGTCAATGAATAGCATGGCAAATTTGTTCTCTAATTTCCATCATATTACAATTTCCATAAGGTGGATTACTGCATCTCTATAATTCAAAAGAAGGAATGAAGGAAAGAAGGAAGGGAAGGAGAGAGAAAGGAAAGGAGGGAGGGAGGGAGGGAGAGAAGAAGGGAGGAAGGAAGGATGGAAGGAAAGGCTCAGGCAGGCAAGGCGGGCCCAGCGGCTCATGCCTATAATCCTAGCACTTTAAGGGGCCGAGGTGGGAGGAATGCTTGAGCCCAGGAGTTTTGAGATCAGCCTGGATAACACAGCAAGACCTGATCTCTACAAAACAATTAAAATTAACTAAGTGTGGTAGCATGCACTTGCAGTCCCAGACACTTGAGGGGCCAAGGCAGAAGGATTGCTCGAGCCCGGGAGTTAGAGGTTACAGTGAGCTATGATGGCATCACTGCATTCCAGCCTGGATGACAAAACTTCTATATTAAAAAAAAAAAGAAGCCCAGGTAATCTCCTTCAGTTCCTGGCACTGTACTTTCCCTGAGACCGCTAGCCCAATATAAAGAACCTCCTATTCACAAAAGCAGTTTACTGCTTATAAAGACTGTAAGGTGTAATATACGGACCTTCATCTGAGATGGAGAAGGTGTATCATTAGTTTCACCTGATGGATGAGACAACTGAGGTATGGAAGGTAAGTCACTGACTTAGTCACTTTCTAAATTTCAGATCTGGCTCCAAGGTCAGTGTCTGTCCACCTGATCTGCTGTTGCCCAGATGCCAGGTTTGTGGCTCTGCTGTGTTGTACGCAGCACCAATCTTCAGTTTCTGCTATTCTCTGCCAGGGCCCACAGGCTACAGACTCCTTGACACTTTCAGATTTCTTACTTCCAAGCTTTGCTCTGCTAAGAAAAAGGTCAAGGAGAATTCTCCTCCTCCTCCTCCTTCTTTTTTTTTTTTTGGTATTTTGCTTTTGTTTCTGTTTTGAAACAGGGTCTTGCTTGGTCACCTAGGCTGGAATGTATTGGTGCAATCAATGCTCACTGCAGCCTCAAACTCCTAGGCAAGTTATCCTCCTGCCTTGACCTCCCAAAGTGCTGGAGTTACAGGGATGAGCCACTGCCAAGAGCTTTTCGTGAAACTGCCACTATGACCCCATGCTGGCTCAGTAGCATTTCTCTGTCCAACAAAACCTAACCCTCACCCCCAGAACCCCCTAAAGAACACATCTGTGGCCTGCCATCTCAGAGAGCAAAGAGATGGAGAGCTGGAAGCACATTGGGCATTTTACTCTAAATCCTAGGGCTGGGAGCCAGCCTCTCCAATGTGTATCCAAATCAGAAAGCTGCATACAGACTAATTATTACACCTCGGAGCTTGCAAGCCCTGAGGGCAGCCAACTGCAGCTGCTGCTACTCTATCTAGTAGTTTATCCAAAAACACAATTGATATTCTCAGCAGTAAGGCCCAAATTAGTTGTGTGGATTTCCATGAGTAGAGAAGGTTTATGAGTAGAAAACAATGATGAGTAGAAAACAATGATCATCCAGTGTGCTGATAGGTGCTCCTGGCACCTCCTGGGGCAAGTGGCCTGCCATGAGGCCTGACCTGCAGTGGGGAAGTGCGGCCAGGGTCAAATTAGCATTCCAGCAGCAAGCACTGAAATGCCACCCTGCATTCTATCACCATCTAATTAGAAAAGGAGAAGGCTGTGCAAGGAGGCAGACAGGCAAAAAAAGAAAGCAAACTAGCTAGCCAGATGGATAGATGTATACATGCTTGGGTACCTCGTCTCAAACCGGTATTAATCACACCTAACTTCTCTAAGTGTAGAAATTACTAGGGTTGTTTCTTTTAGATATGATACTAGGGTTTACTCCTCATTTCCAGAGCTGACATCCCACCAGGTAGGCATCAGCAAGTGAAGATCCAACAAGATAAAACAAGAGCAGGCATATCCATGGCGAAAAGACTCTTGCCAGCCCACAACTACTCCTCATCTCCCAAGCCAGGACTGACCACACAGTGACATACATCATCAGTGAAAACAAGGTCTTGCTCACCTGCTTTCTAGCCTTCTCCTCCCTGGCCTGGGCTTTCATCTGCTGAACTTCCAAAGAATCAGCTTTCCTTCTCCTCATAAATAGATCATGGTTCCCGATACATAGCTGGAGAATCTGTAGCCACAGAAATAGACAAAAAAGGTTAATATCCACAAATTTACTTCACTGCCTACCAGCCTCCAGTGCGATAGCAGTTTGGGCTCTTGCAGGTAGCCACTAATGTGAAGATGAATGCATGGAGTGAAACACCAAAGCCCTACTAGCAGCTTCTAGTGCTCTCAGCTCTGGAGACATGCAAAATGAAGGTGCCTCAGATATGCCAGGAAGTAAAAATCACAAATGAAGACAGGACTAGAGGACACTTCACCATGTCTTCTGGGTGCACCTTACTCTCCTATGTCAAGATGTGGTTCTCCAGACCAGGGAGGATAGGAAAGCTCCTTCAGTAAGCTGGCTGAGACAACAGGTTATGCATGTGGAAAAAAAATAAGATGGATCCCTCCCTCACACCTTACACAAAAATCAACTCCAGAAGGATTAAAGACTTAAATACAAAGATCAAGCCTTTGAAATTTTAGAAAAAAATATAGAAGAACATCTTTATGATCATAGGATAAGAGAAGATGCCAAGTAAGACAAAAAAAGTGATTAAGGAAAAAATCTATATATTTGTCTATATTGAAATTAAAAATGTGCATTGTCAAGATGTAAAAAAAGAAAAACAGAGCCACAAACTGGAAAATATAGCCAATATTATGAAAACAGGCTAGGTGTAGTGGCTCACACCTGTAATCCCAGCACTTTCAGAGGCCAAGGTGGGAAGATTCTTGAGCCCAGGAGTTCAAGACCAGCCTGGGTGACATAGTGAGACCCTATCTCTACAAAAAATAAAAAAATTTGGCCAGACATGGTGGTATACGTCTGTAATCCCAGCACTTTGGGAAGTGGAGGCAGGTAGAGTGCTTGAGCCCGGGAATTCAAAATAAACCTGGACAACATGGCAAAACTCCTCTCTATAAAAAATACAAAATATTAGCTGGACTACAAGTGCATCTGTAGTCCAGCTACTAGGGAGGCTGAGGTGGGAGGATCACCTGAGCCTGGGGAGGTCCAGGCTGCAGTGAGCCATGATTGTGTCACTACATTTCAGCCTGGGCAACAGAGTGAGACCGTCTCAAAAAAAAAAAAAAAGTTAGTATGATAATGAGATATCATTTTATATGTACAAGATTGGTAAAAATTTTAAAAGGCTGATAATACAAGTATTAAGGATAGCAAAAAGGAAGTCCCACCTACTACCATTGGGTCTGTAAAAATCGATTCACCTTCTTTAGAAAATAATGCATCACAATTTTGAAATTTGAACATATACTGAGCCCTATTCTTCTATTCCTGTGTATATTCTCTAAACTCTTTTTTTTTTTGAGACGAAGTTTAGCTGTTGTTACCCAGACTGGAGTGTAATGGCACGATCTCGGCTCACCACAACCTCCACCTCCTGGGTTCAAGCAATTCTCCTGCCTCAGCCTCCTGAGTAGCTGGGATTACAGGGGCACACCACCATGCCCAGCTAATTTTTGTGTTTAGTAGAGACGGGATTTCACCTTGTTGACCAGGATGGTCTCGATCTCTTGACCTCGTGATCTACCCGCCTCGGCCTCCCAAAGTGCTGGGATTATAGGTGTGAGCCACCACACCCGGCCCTCTATTTTTTTAAAGTCGGTGTTTCACCATGTTGGTCAGGCTGGTTTTGAACTCCCGACCTCAGGTGATCCGCCCGCCTTGACCTCCAAAGTGCTTGGATTACAGGCATGAGCCACCAAGCCCGGCCTTAAACTCTATTTTTTAATTAAAAAAAATTTTATTTATTTTCATTTTTTAGAGACAGGGTCTTGCTATATTGGAGGCCTTGAACCCCTGGCCTCAAATAATCCTCCCACTTTGACCTCCTCAAGTGCTAGGATTACAGGTGTGAGCCACCCCACCTACCCCAGTATACTCAAGACTCCAAAGAAATTATTGCCTATGTGCATGCACCGGAAGGCAGATACAAAAGTTTTCTTAACAGCCTGTTAAAACAGTATAGAAGTAAAAAGCACTTAATTATCCATTGAAAGAAGAATGAGAAAAAATTTATAACAGAGTGCTACAGAGGTGAGAATAAATAATCTTTAAGCACCAACAAAGATATATCTCCAAAGAAAATGAAAAAGGAAAAGGCAAGTGACAGAAGAATATATATAGTTGACAGCACTTAGATAAATTTCATAACCACATAACACTGAATAGTATTTTTCTTTTGCCGTATATGAAATAAAATTCTGTTGAAAGCAAGGGGATAATGAATATTTAACTCACAGCAGTGATCACCCCTGGGGAGAGGGAAGGGACAGAACAGCAGGGTGTTAACATGAAGGGTCGACAGTATTGGGACTGTGCTATTTCTTAAAGCAGCGTCATAGGTACACAGCTATTCACTTTTGTTATTCTTTTTTTTTTGAGACAGAGTTTTGCTGTTGTTACCCAGGCTGGAGTGCAATGGCACGATCTTGGCACACCGCAACCTCCGCCTCCTGGGTTCAAGCAATTCTCCTGCCTCAGCCTCCCGAGTAGCTGGGACTACAGGGACGCACCACCATGCCCAGTTAATTTTTGTATTTTTAGTAGAGACAGGGTTTCACCTTGTTGACCAGGATGGTATCGATCTCTTGACCTCATGATCCACCCGCCTCAGCCTCCCAAAGTGCTGGGATTATAGGTGTGAGCCACTACACCTGGCTTCACTTTTGTTATTCTTTATAACTTTTATAAGTTATGCTCATCCTTTTATATGTATGAAATACTGCAATAAAAATCCTTGTAAAGTTTCCTCATAATTTAGTTTTAACTCTTTAAGCTAAAGAGAAAGTGTGCACAAGTGAGATAGCATTCTACACTGCACAGGATGTCACTCTATTTTTTTTTTTTTTTGAGAAGGAGTCTTGCTCTGTTGCCCAGGCTGGTGTGCAATGGCGAGATCTCAGCTCACTGCAACCTCTGCCTCCAGGGTTCAAGCAATTCTCCTGCCTCAGCCTCCCAAGTAGCTGGGACTATAGGCTCACACCACCACACCCAGCTAATTTTTGTATTTTTAGTAGAGACAGGGTTTCACCATGTTGGCCAGGCTGGTCTCGATCTCTTGACCTTGTCATCCACCCACCTTGGCCTCCCAAAGTGCTGGGATTACAGGCATGAGCCACCGTGCCTGACCTACTCTGATATTCTTTAAAAATAAGTATTCAATTCTCAGAAAAGCTACCATTATCAGTAATGAAAACCAGGTTCTCAACTTACCAGCTTATTAACACGAAGCTTTGAGGAGTTAAACTTGAAGACATCAATTTTCTTATCCAGTGGTTTAATAGTAAACTGGAAGAAGGAAACAGAACACAGTTTCAGTCCGACAGCCTGAAATGTTACCACCAACTGGAAATTCCACAAATGCAGCAGCCACACTGGCCACAGACCAGCATGAAGTTACACCCTGTCCTGGCTTCCCAGCGTCCAGGCACTAAGTTATGCCTTGTCCTGGCTTCCTAGTATCCTCGGGGAATTAGGAGCACCAAGTCTGGGGCTGTGGAAGGTGCACTCTCTAGACCATCTTAGGCATGAGTGTGAGGAAGGGATTCTTGACAACCTAAAACAAGCAAGGTTAATGGGCCCTGAGCACAACACTGGAGGGCTACTACAGCCTAGGGCATGGCCCTGCCTTCACGAAGCTCACCATCCATCCAGTTGGAGCTAGGCTAACAACAGCCAATTACTCAAGACATCACATCATATATTAGTGCTTCGTGGGGTGGTGCAAATCTCAAATGTGTGGGAAGGTTTAGAGTAGATCCACCATAAGCAGGAGAAAGTGAAGCTGATTTCAGAAGAAGAATCCAACTGGGTAGCTAAAAGGCAGGCTGAAGGGGCATTGTGCACAGGGCAGCACCAGTAATAAAGTAGAGATGGGGAAATCAGCTGTGTATATGTGTGTGTGTGTGTGTGTGTGTGTGTGTGTGTGTGTTTGTGTGTTTTTGTTATTAGCTTTTTAGTGACTAAGACGATATAACAGGCTTAGCCTGGGAGGGATAAGAGGTGGGCATAGGGGCTAGCAGTGAGAATAAAAGTCAGAGGTGGCCAGGTACGGTGGCTCACACTCATAATCCTAACATTTTGGGAGGTTGAGGCGGGAAGATCACTTGAGGCCAGGAGTTAGAGGCTGCAGTGAGCTGTAATTGCACAACGGCACTCCAGGCTGAGCAACAAATGAGATCCCTATCTCAAAAAAAAGGTGTTTAGATTTTATGTGACAGGATACCCAGACTCACCACAGGTTTCTGAACATGGGAATAATTTGATAAAAGCTGTTAATAGAATCAGGCCGGGCACGGTGGCTCACGCCTGTAATCCCAGCACTTTGGGAGGCCGAGGCGGGTGGATCACAAGGTCAAGAGATCAAGACCATCCTGGTTAACATGGTGAAACCCCGTCTCTACTAAAAATACAAAAAATTAGCTGGGCATGGTGGCGTGTGCCTGTAGTCCCAGCTACTCAGGAGGCTGAGGGAGGAGAATTGCCTGAACCCAAGAGGCAGAGGTTGCGGTGAGCCAAGATTGCGCCATTGCACTCTAGCCCGGGTAACAAGAACGAAACTCCGTCTCAAAAAAAAAAAGAAAGAAAGAATCAAATGGGAAATTGGACTATCATAGAAAGGAAAATAGTTCCTGATCCTGAAATCAAAGTGGAGAGAAACATGAATGATAAGGATAGGGTGGTGGCCTGGTAGGAGAGCCCAGGGTGAGACCGCAAGCAGGAAAGCCTGTAAGGAACAAATGGCTGCTGCTCTCAACCACTCCCGATAAGACCAAACAGATCCTAGATTTCCGCAGGCTCTGCACCACACCAGGGTGTACACCAAGAATCAATGGATCACTTAAAATAAACTAACATTTCTGTTTTGACAGCCCGGCTGTCATGCATAACTACCAAGACTACCTCTTTTATGTCAAGTCAGCTTGGGGTCTGTTTACTGCATGAGTTACTGACATGATGGAACATGATGGTGCCTGGCCCCTGGAGAGAGCATATTAGAGTTCACTGTGTCAGGCCATACTAGGGGAGACTTTAATCCTTGGGTTCTTTGAAGAACGGATGTTTAGGGAGCCTTTAATGCACAAATGTGTGGATGTGTGATAAACAGACTATGAAATTGGGAGATGAAAAACTACCATACGGTGCACACATAATGCTTTATGTCATGTGGAACTTTCATTTTAAGTACTTTAAAAAAGAAACACCTAAACGCTTATCTCCTGGGCTAACTACTTACAAAAAACTCAAAGTCAGAATGTTTTGAATTAAGTGGCTCAGTCTGTCTTATCAAGTATGGCTGAGTAGATCCCAACAACATATTGGAAGCCAAGGGCCTAGTTGGTGTTGGCTTGCTTGAGTTGCCATGAAGAAAGAGAAAACAGGAAATATGCTCAGGGTCAGGGCTCCGCAGGCAGCAACATAAGCCATTCCTGTACTTCATTCCCTACTCTGTGTCCTGGCTGTGCAGGTACCAGGAGGTACTGAGTGGAGCCTCCTCTGCCTGGTGCCCCTGTGCTCTCAGGGCTCAGCCTCTGGGTCTCCCTGAAAGGCGGGGATTGTGGCATCAACAACTTCAGCTCTTACCCTCTGCTATTTCACTCAGACACAGGTCACTGGACCCTTCTGTGTCTCTGCTCCCTGATATGACACAGAGATAATGACAACACAGCCCCTGCCTTTACAGCAGTGTTCTTAAAGAGATCAAATTCAGAGGGTCGGGGTGAAAGTGCTTGTATGTGGAAAACTATATCGTCATTATCATGTCTCTTCCACGGCACTTATTTATCATAGCAGGTGAGTAGTTACTGGACTTCCTTGAAGGCTGAGACTAGATTTTCTACCTCTTTGTTTTCCCCATGAAATATAACACAAAGCAGATGCTCGATCATTCCTTTAAAAGTAATGAAGAATTGCTGAGCATGGCAGCTCACACATATAATTCCAGCACTTTGGTAGGCTGAGGTGGGAGAATCGCTTGAGCCCAGAAGTTCAAGACGAGCCTTGGCAATGTGGCAAAACCCCATCTCTACAAAAAATTAGCCAGGTGTGGTGGCACACGCCTGTAGTCTCAGCTACCTGGGAGGCTGAGGTGGGAGGATGAGCCCAGAGAGGTCAAGGCTACAGTGAGCCATGATCATGTGCCCACTGCATTCCAGCCTGGGAGACAGAATGAGACTCTGTCTCAAAAGACAGTAATAATAAAATAAAATTAATGAAGAATGAATGAATGGATGGATAGATGAGTAAACATAAGATTATGCCTATGGGACGTTTTTGGGAAAAGTCACCACCCTGTATGAAAATATTTGAACTCCAAGACCATTCATCTGAGTTATTCAAGCTTAATTATTTTTGAATTCTTGTAAGCATATTAACCTAATATCCTTATTTATATCATTACTGAGATACACACACAAAACACATATATGTCCATATGTGTGTATGTGTGTATATATATTTCTCTACCACAAGTATTCTGGATACAGAAAGAAAGCTCAATAAAGACCACACTTAAAATACAAAGAGAATTTAAGCCAGGTGGCGCACACCTGTAGTAGCTACTCAGGAGGTTAAGGTGGAAGGATCGCTTGAGCCCAGGAGTTGAAATTGAGTCTGGGCATATGTAATGAAACCCTGTCTCTAAAAAAGAAAAAAAAAATACAAAGGGAATTTATCAACAGAAATAGAAAGCCAAGTAATGAGAAAATGTGACTGTTTTTGTTTACTATTCTTTGGGGTTTCTCCTTGGCAAGTTGAGCTTCCCAGTTTCCTGTTAGTCATAGTGGGGTTACTAATGCCAGTACTGTTCTGTAAATATTTCAAAAATCAACAACCACACCCCCAAAGCCTGAGAATTAAAGGATTCTACAAATAACAAGAAGATGCCCTGGCTGGGGAGGCTCCAGCGAGGGGGGCAGACGGGGAAAGCTCTTTTGCTGAACTCCTGGTCCACTAGTGGCATCTGCAGTACAAACACGTCCTACCTCCTTGTCACTGTATGAGATGTTTCGAATTTCATTCCATGGGAAGGAGATCTTGGGGGTCAGCCTGTTCTCAGGGTCATAGATGTGAAGCCCCAGGGCGTCCACTCCAAGCAGCAGCTCTGTGCCCTTTTTATTCTGTAGATCCAATAAGAACAGCCACTGTAAGCTCCAGCTGAGGCTCAAAATTTTATTCAACCTTCCAAACAATCTGGCACACACTGTCATATCTGACAAGTTTCAGCAGGTCCCAACAGAAGTCACAGCTGTTTTATAAACCAAGAAGGTTTCAGCTTTCCGAATCGGGGCAGGCAGAAGCAAAACTGTACCATTCTTGTGACTTCTGAGTCCCCCAGAATGATCACTGAGGGCTTCTGTCATTGGCTCGATGGCTAAAGGAAGAGTAACATAAGTGCTGTTGCCTCTCATTAAATAACCAGGCTATCGTAAGTGTAGAATTAAAGCCCATAGGTTTAATGATTTCTTATGTTTAAAGAAACTGTTCCTGGACTACTAGAAAGAAAATGTTAAGTGCCTGGGACTGGATGGCCTCATTTTATGATCAAATGTAGTCTTCATGTGATAAAACAAGTCTGGGGTTCGGGCGCAATGGCTCAAGCCTGTAATCCCAGCACTTTGGGAGGCCAAGGAGGGTGGATCACGAGGTCAAGAGATCGAGACCATCCTGGTCGACATGGTGAAACCCCGTCTCTACTAAAAATACAAAAAATTAGCTGGGTATGGTGGCACGTGCCTGTAATCCCAGCTACTCAGGAGGCTGAGGCAGGAGAATTGCCTGAACCCAGGAGGCAGAGGTTGCGGTGAGCCAAGATCGCGCCATTGCACTCCAGCCTGGGTAACAAGAGCAAAACTCCGTCTCAAAAAAAACAAAACGAAACGAAAAAACAAGTCTGGTAAAATGTTAACTGTAGAATCTAGGTTGTGCATATACATAAGTATTCACTGAAAAATTCTTTTGATTTTTCTATAAGTTTGAAATTTTTAATAATTGCATGTTGAAAAATATATATCAAAAGGAATTCTATAGAAATTATTCATCAACAAAGCTGTCTAAAAGCTGTACCTCTGCTCTGCCTCTGACAGTGGTCCTGGCCAGCAGTCAGAGCAGCCAGCGGCGGGTGCCCTGGGCTCCCACAGCACCGACCCTGCTACACACTTGGTGGCTGTATCCTCACATGCAGGTCCACCCGCCAGTGCTATGGTCCAGCCCTCATTTGGAGGTGGAAGGAAACTTGGCTGCACAAGGATACTACAGCTCCTGACCCCTTGCTGATAAGAGAAATTGAACCAAGACTCAAGGGCAGAAAAACAGATCTGCAAACCGAGAAGGTACTGGGACTGTGAGGAGAAGTACCAATCTAACAGCAGACATCAGATGGAGGAGTGAGTACTCCAGCATAAATCCTTTTACTCCTAACACCCTGAAGTCAGGAGCTATCACCAAACCATGAGAGAGTCTTCTGCTAGTCAGCAAAGCTAAGAAAGCTACTGCATTAATAGAAGTGAGATTTTGTACTTTAAAATCTGGAGTACATTTTGGAAAATGAGATGTTTCATTATGTTTCTGACTATTTGGTTTACATTTTTAAAAAAAGATTCAGCCTTCTGCCTCCTACCATTATGACTACAACACTTCTAGAGATTAAAAAGACAGAGCTGTAAACTCAAGCAGCCCCTTTTAAATGGTTTTAAGCACACATCTTCCTTAGTTAATGGTGAGATTTCAGGAAATTTAACATAAAAGACATTAAAATAGCCAGTAACTTTGTCTATTGCTCAATATAGGAAACACACATACAAAACAGAATCCATTAGTCTGACTGACGTAGAAATATCCCCTAGTAAGAAACTTTTTCAGCCAGGCACAGTGGTGCACCCCAGCTACTTGGAAGGACCACTTGAGCCTAGCAGGCCTGGGTGATACGGCAAAACTCCACCTCTAAAAAACAAAAAGGATGTTTAAAAAAACAAAAAAGTAGGCTGGGCATGGTGGCTTACGCCTGTAATCCCAGCACTTTGGGAGGCTGAGGAGGGCGGATCACAAGGTCAGGAGGTCAAGACCAGCTTGGCTAACATGGGGAAACCCCATCTCTACTAAAAATACAAAAAATTGGCCAGGTGTGGTGGCGGGCGCTTTTGGTCCCAGCTACTCAGGAGGCTGAGGCAGGAGAATCGCTTGAACCCGGGAGGCGGAGGTTGCAGTGAGCCAAGATCACACCACTGCACTCCAGCCTGGACTATAGATTGAGACTCTGACTCAGAAAAAAAAAAACCTATTTTCTGAAGATTATAAAATTTTAGTTTTCTAGAAGCTAGGTGGCTGTCACATGGGGAAAGAGGAGTAGAGTTGACAAAACCACAGAAATGTGTTACATTAGGCTGGGCGTGGTGGCTCATGCCTGTAATCCCAGCACTTGCACTTTGGGAGGCCAAGGTGGGCAGATCATGAGGTCAGAAGTTCGATACCAGCCTGACCAACATGGTTGAAACCCCATCTCTACTAAAAATGCAAAAATTAGCCAGGCACGGTGGCACACGCCTGTAATCCCAGCTACACAGGAGGCTGAGCAGGAGAATTGCTTAAACCTGGGAGGTGGAGGTTGCAGGGAGCAAAGACTGCGCCACTGCCACTACACTCCAGCCTGGGCAACAGTGCGAGACTCTGCCTCAAAAAAAAAAAAAAGAAAAGAAATGTGTTACATTAGTTTGACGTTAAAGAAACCAAGCAATTAGCAAATACAAACTGAGAACTTTAGAAAAGACCTCCCTGCACTATTATGGAGCATCTTTTAGGTACTTTAAGTGTGCCTTATTTTCTTATGCAGAGTAATCCGTACAAATCTGTATTTATAAAATACAAATTAAGTAGAAAGCTATCCTAGAATATTAAAAATGTGTTTCAGTTTACCTGAATTTAATACAACAACTGCAGGAACCCAATAAGGGAAAGCAAAGCATGACTGTGATAATAAAGGTGGACCTGCCTGATTGTTTTAACATCCGCAGTTTGGAGTCAGTGGTGAAATGCTTTGGCAAATCACATGTACCCCTTTGGAAGAAGCTGCCTTATTCACTGCATCCAGCAACTGACCCACAGGAGAAAGACTTTCTAAAGGCCCAGATCTGGGCTGCACACAAATGCCTCTCCCCGCAGAATCAGTGAGTTCCCAGCAGACAGCAGACTATTAATGGTCTGAATAGAAAACCAATTATCCTCACAGTGAGAATCCCAAACAAATCAGTAATCTATAACGGCAGATCTACTCTCCAAGTGCCTGGGGCAGGGGTGGGGATGGGGTGTATGGGGGCGGGGAGAAGTACTTACAGGTGCTCCCTGTGGACCAAGATCTCACAGAGCCAGAAATAATCAAATCTTACACTCAGACCATTCAAACAGGTTTCTGCTGAGAGCAGAACCAGGTCCAAGTCCCCCAAGGCTCAAGTGACACTTAATTACCTATGATCTAATTGAAGTCCAAAAATAGAAAGTTAGGCACTAAGACCTCTCTCTCCTTCCTCTATTTTTCTCTACCTACCACAGAAGCTTAAAAGATTCTATCACCTTGGAATGAAGAAGTAACCCATTTTAGTAGTCTGACTCTCATTTAGTCTGTTTACTACAAAAGGAGCTCAAAGAGGTTTCAACACACCCGGATTGCAAAGTAGTTCACACCATACATCTCCAGGTCCTGAGCTATCTTCAGATATTCCATTTCAGCTTCATCCCTGTGGGGAGAATGGAAGACACTGTCACTGGAGCTAAGTAAGATGGGTGGAGAGCAGGCAGGCACCAAGGCAAGCATTCCAACCCTGCCATTCCTCTAGAGCCATGTTGCTGGCAGAAGACAAGAGCCTCAGCAGATACCATCAAAGATCTGCCCAGCCCCGAGTCTATTAAACACACTGTGATCAAGCAAAATTTCCCATCCCCATCATCACGGTGTTTCTTAGCCTTAATTTCTCACTTTCCTTGGTAAACCGTAAACTCGTCTCAAGTAATTCAAGAAGAGTGTGTGATATGTTATCTTCTACCCTCAAACAGATTTGGGTGTTCACATTTTATTTAAGTTCTTGCTTTATCTTCGTGTACTTTCTTCATCTAGACAGTTTTGGAAATGAAACCACTCTCTCTGCAAGCTTCCTGACTGAGTATTGTTAGAGGTTAGGGCAAGAGCTATCTGGGTTGTAAAATCCAAGTCAGATCACCTTCATCTAAGTTATAAGTCAAATTTAAAGCAAGCTCTTGAAGTAGCAATGACTTGCAGAAAACTCCCAAACAGGTATCATATTGAAATATTTTAACTCAAGTCTTCCTATAACCTTGTCCTCTTCCTTCTCTTTCCAATCTCCAAATGCTCTCAAGTGAATTTTAAAAATCCAACCTGAGAGCCAAATGCTGGTAAACAGGTAGAGAAACCAGAAATCACACACATGTTGATGTAAATTGGTACAATTATGCCAGGTGCAGTGGCTCATGCCTGTAATCCCAGCACTTTGGGAGGCCAAGACAGGTAGATTACTTGAGATCAGGAGTTCAAGACCAGCCTGACCAACATGGTAACACCCCATTTCTACTACAAACACAAAAAATTAGCCTGGTATGGTGGCACACGCCTGTGATCCAGCTAATCAGGAGGCTGAGGCAGGAGACTTGCTTGAACCTGGAGGCAGAGGTTGCAGTGAGCTGAGATCCCACCACTGCATTCTAGCCTGGGCAACAGAGCAAGACTCTATCTCAAAAAAAAAAAAAAAAAAAAAAAAAAAAATTGGTACAATTACTTTGGGAAATTGTTTGACATTATTGTAATAGGAAAAACCAGGAGGCAACTGACAACCTAACTGTCCATCATTAGTAGAATGAATAAATAACTTGTAGTATACTAATACAGTGGAAGTTTACACAGCAGTGAAAATGAAAATACTATTGCCACATGCCACAAAACCAAATCTAACAATACGATGTTGAGTAAAAGAAGTGAGACACAAAAAAACGGAATACAAAGTTTAAAATGGGCAACACCAATCTGGAATTAAAAATCAGTAGACTGGTGACCTTTGGGAGGAAGAAAGGGGAATTGGGGGTGGGGGAGCATAGGTTATTTCTTCCTCTGGTATTACATGGTGTTTTCACCTTATGATAACTGATCAAGTTGTAATACTCATAATTTGTCTACTGTTCCATATGCACATTGCTCTTAAGTTTAAAAAAAAAAAAAGCATGTGTTAGGAAACTGATTTGAAGAAGAGAAAAAAATTTTAAAGGCTAATGAAAACATGATCAGTTCCTAAAGTAATTGGGAATGCCAATTCTAACATGAGACACAACTTTTCACTTTTTAGATTAAAAAAATTAGATTGATAAATACAAATGTTGAGGATAGAATGGGGTTGGGGGTGGACACTCATAACACTTGTCGACAGGCATGTATAAACAGGTACAGCCTTTTTGGAGAACAATTTGGTGGTATCTATCAAAATGCAAAATGCTCACATGCTCTGACCCAGCAACTCTCATTTTAAAGAATATATCCTCAGAACTATTCAAATAATTATATAACTCCCAAACAGGTATCATATTGAAATAAGATTGTGTACTGCAGAAATTTTTGTAAAAGTGAAAAACCTACAAGATCAGCCCGGGCAACACGGTGAAATCCCATCTCTACTAAAAACAGAAAAATTAGCTGGGCGTGGTGGCATGTGCCTGTAGTGCCAGCTAGGGTGGGGTGGGGGAGCTAAAGCAGGAGGTTTGCTCGAACCCAGGAGGTCAAGGCTGCAATAAGCTGAGATGGCGTCACTGTATTCCAGCCTGGACAACAGAACGAGATCTCCAAAAAGAAAATCTTTTTTTTTTTTTTTTTTTTTTTTGAGACGGAGTTTCGCTCTTGCTACCCAGGCTGGAGTGCAATGGCGCAATCTCGGCTCACCGCAACCTCTGCCTCTTGGCTTCAGGCAATTCTCCTGCCTCAGCCTCCTGAGCAGCTGGGATTACAGGCGCGCGCCACCATGCTCAGCTAATTTTTTGTAATTTTAGTAGAGACGGGGTTTCACCATGTCGACCAGGATGGTCTCGATCTCTTGACCTCGTGATCCACCTGCCTCGGCCTCCCAAAATGCTGGGATTACAGGCTTGAGCCACCGTGCCCAGCCCTAAAAAATCTTAAAATTAAACTGCGTTACCAATGAGTGCAAGTCCATACATCCTGACAGGTAGTACGCATGCCTACTCTAGATCATACGCACTAGAAAAAGGACATACACAAAATTGAAGACAACGCTACTCCCAGCTCTCCCTTTCTCTTTTATAGACTTTCTTTTATAGACTTCAACAACCATGTCCTAATTTTGCAGTTCTTTAAGGAAGGAAAAAAGCCCATAAAGGAATGTAAACAACAGTGAATGGGCCTCACCTGGCTCTGCCTCGGTGCTCTGCGTACCAGGCAGTAATTCTCTCTTCCCACATTTCTGGAGTCATCTGATACAGATTTATTACCTACCAAAAAATCCAGAAAAATAAAAAACCTACACACAATGTAAGTTTGGGTATTGTTTGCCACTTTTATAATTATGCATCATTTCTACAAAACAGTAAAGGTATTTTTAAAAAGCTACACCCAGGAAGATAGTCACACACAGAGAAGGTGTGTAAATAAGGCACCATTCTATTAGAGGAGCAACTCAGAAAGCTGCACAATAGCTCAGACCTAGGTGGATCCCTTGTCTGGCAGTGCCCCTGTTCCCAGAGACCACCTCTGGCAGCGGAACTCAGTCAGAAGCAATGCTCACTCGTCTCAGGCCTTTGCGTGCTCAGAAGCCATCGAGGGAAAGGTAAAGGCAGTGAGAGGTGAGGACAGGGCCTTTATTACCCAGTGACAGATGAGTGGGGCTATAAAATCGGCAGAAGCAAAAGGGAGGGCGGGCCTGCTTGTTTGGCTAATGAATAAGATGAACAATGCTGAGGATTAAAAACCACAATGCCCACCCCTACCTCATCTCCTTTATCCACCCCTCCCCACTGCAAACAGCTCAATTCCCCTAGCTGAATACACTCTGCTTCAACCTCCTCCTTGGGAATCAGTGATGCTCAATCGCATTTAAATAAATAACCATGCTAGAAAAAATATTTTACAGGCCATGCTAGTCCTGGTGACACCAGAAACCTTTGCTTTTTAATATTCTTAACAGAGATCCCACACTCTTTACTGGAAATTACAAAATAGTTATTAAAATTTCTTGCCATGTACTTCCAATATTCCTTCAAGTCCTTCGGTTAGCTTTCTTTTAGACCACATCTCGGCTATGTCTTCCCGAAAAGGGAATTTAATCTCTTACCCTTTTTGGAAGCAATTCCTCTTGGGCCAAAAATCCCCGCTTGTGAACAGTGGGGTCGTAGTCACCATACTGGAAAGAGAAGAAAGGAAGAGCAGGTGATTGAGATTCTAAAGATAACTGCCATTTCTGAAGAGCTGGACTCAATCTCATTCCCTCCCAGCTCCAGGGAGCAATTCAATTCTGATGACAAGTCAAGATTTCAACCTTGCTTGTTTGTTACACCTGAATGAAAATACAAAGCTGATTATATCTATGAACAGAGTTGCATGATCCTGTAAGAGATGGATGGGTGATGTCCTAATAAGAATGTGACATTTGTATGGAAATGTGGGCATGTTTTCTAACCCTTAAAGAAAGCAGTCACTTTCAAAACATCAGCTTTAGAATTGAAACACCAAATCACAACTGTGAAAGTTGTGATTAGCAACACATGATAAGAGTCTTACCTATAAATTCTTCTAAGTGACTTGTAATTGGAGCCCATTCTAGGGGGGGATCCAGGAATAATGCAGGAAGTATTTTTAATACCTTTTACTCAAATCTCTGAAAAATACTTTGGAAAAATCTGATGTCAACACTGACATTCCTATTGTACAGACAAAGAAGTGAGTAAAAGGTTAATTGATCTTCCTAAAGCTACAGGGAAGTCACTAATGGGGTTGGAAATATGCCCTGCATTTTAATTTATCCCTCTGGGGATAATGACTTGGAAATTTATTCTCTGACTTAAAAAAAAAATACTTCTTTCTTTCCTAGAAAACTCAAGTCTGATCAGGAAATAATCAAAAGTTAAAAAATGTTTAAAAAGAAACTAACCATGAAACATACAGGAGAATATAAAACCAAAGCTTCTCTCTTATCAATCAGCATACAGTGGCTCTTCATTTTACCAAAAATTACAAAGCTCAGTACTTCAGTATAATCTTCTATAAACATTTATTCCTTTAGCTACCAACAATGGAGAAACAAAGGTCAGATCAAGGCTTCAGGTTCTATATCCACCAAATTTCATTCTTTCATTCTGTTCTCTCATTCTCAAAGAGTCTCGAGTTAAAATTTCTGGCATGTTCTCCAAACAAAGTAGCCTACCAAACTACAGACACAGAAATGAAAGAAGATATTCATCATCAACTTTAAATTATGCATCATTTCCCTTATCACCTTAACTATAAAAGCCCCATGAATTAATATTTCTTTTGAATCTCATAATTATCTTTCAAAAAGCAGAATTGTATTGCATTGTTTTTTAGAATCTTAAGGGAATTCGTCAAATTTAAACATTTTAAATATGGCACAGTTTTTGTAACACAGTTTAGGCATTTCTTCATTAAAAAAAAAAAATAGGCTGGGCACCATGGCTCATGCCTGTAATCCTAGGACTTTGGGAGGCCAAGATGGGAGGATCGTTTAACCCCAAGGGTGGAAGGCTGCAGTGGCTGTGATTGTGACACTACACTCCAGCCGGAGCGACAGTGGAAGATCCCATCTATATAAATAAAAAATAACTTTAGAAATTAAAAATGAAAGGGCTTGGTATTTCTCTGCTTCTGGGAGGCTCAGAGATGTGATATAATAAGTCATAACTGTACTATGCTTTAACAGTACTCTCTGCAAGGCAGCTGTAGAGGGAGGGTAGGAGCCTGGCTCTGGAGGCAGGCTCCCTAAGGTTTCATCTTACATCTTTCAGTTGGTAGCTATGTGAACTTGGAAAGTTTTGTGTCTCAGTTTTCTTCTCTGTAAAACAGAAATAATAATAGTATTTATCTTGCCAGACTCTTACAGGGATTGAATTAATAAGACCAACAAAGTTTTTAAAACTATGCTTGGCTAGACAAGCTGGCTCACACCTGTAATCCCAGCACTTTGGGAGGCCAAGGTGGGTGGATCACCTGAGATTAGGAGTTCAAGACCAGCCTGATCAACATGGAGAAACCCCGTCTCTACTAAAAACACAAAATTAACCGGGTGTGGAGACACATGCCTATAATCCCAATTACTCGGGATGCTGAAGCAGGAGAATCACTTGAACTTGGGAGGCAGAGGTTGCAGTGAGCCAAGATCTCACCATTGCACTCTAGCCTGAGCAACAAAAGTGAAACTTCGTCTCAAAAAAAAAAAACTATGCTGGCTGGGCACGGTGGCTCACGCCTATAATCCCAGCACTTTGGGAGGCCGAGGCAGGTGGATCACGAGGTCAAGAGATCGAGACCATTCTAGACAACATGGTGAAACCCCGTCTCTACTAAAAATACAAAACTTAGCTGGGCATGGCGGCACAAGCCTGTAGTCCCAGCTACTTGGGAGGCTGAGGCAGGAGAATTGCTTGAACCCAGGAGGCGGAGGTTGCGGTGAACCAAGATCGCGCTACTGCACTCCAGCCTGGGTAACAAGAGCAAAACTCTGTCTCAAAAAAACAAAAAACAAAAAAAAAACTATGCTTGAGGCTGGACACAGTGGCCCACACTTACAATCCCAGCACTTGGGAGACCAAGGCAGGCAGATCACTTGAGATAAGAAGTTCGAGACCAGCCTGACCAACATGGTGAAACCCTGTCTCTACAAAAAGTACAAAATTAGCTGGGCATGGTAGCACATGCCTGTAATCCCAGCTAACTGGTAGGCTGAGGCAGGAGAATCGCTTGAAGCCAGGAGGCGGAGGTTGTAGTGAGCCAAGATTACACCATTACACTCCAGTCTGAGCAACAAGAGCGAACCTCCATCTCAAAAAAATAACAATAATAAAATAAAGTAAAGTATGCTTGACATATACAACCTGATGCCCAGAAGATCTCAGGTCTCTTCAAACCTGCTTCCTATCTGTCAAATGAGAGTACTGGCCTCAAAGGATCTTGAAGGGAGGTGGGGCATCTGGAGTACCCTCTCTGAGGCCTTGAATAAGGCATCCTCTCTCTAAACCTCAACTTCCTCATCTGTTGAGTGAGGGTCATAATAGCATCTGCCTTATTAGAGATGATGAGGATGAAGTAAAACAATACAGGTTTTAGCACAGCACATGGCTCACAGTGAAAGTCGGGTATCATTATTATTGCCATCCTCTGCATTACTTATGACAACACTGATCTTTGTTTACCTCCTGGATTTTTGAAAGGGTAGGATGCTAAAGGAAGCCCTGTTAGTTGCATATGCAAATCCCTCAACAGTGCTGACAAAGCTCTAATGCAAAAGCAGGCAGATATGCAAAGTTAAAGTTGTAAATTCAGGTTCTGAAGGCATGCAATATTAACAATCCCATTATTATACCAAGCTCTCAGCTAGTCCACTGATCAAATGCATCACAGCTGAGCAATGCAGAGATGGCAAATACCCTGCTGAAAGAACTTCTCCATTGGTCTAACTCAGCTTCCAACATTAAAGCCACCTTGATGTATGTCTGCTCTTAAATGTCTTTTTAAACAACAAGGGAAGGAAAAAATCCTGAAGTTGTGGTAGCCAGTGAATACAAAACTAAGTCACACCACTCCAGAGATGGAGATGGCCATTCCTCATCCTTTTATGTAGGAGATGCATTCTGATAATGTAACCAAGGTGAATTTACTGGGAAGCTAAGAAAACTTGGATTTCAGGTCTCTGCACCTTCATAGGCCTGTACCTAATTTGGTACTCTTGCATTAAAGCCAATCCCCTAAATTATTAAAATCCAGGCCCAGAAAATCTGGACCTACTCCTGACATAAGCTAATTGAATTTAAATTCAAGGAGTTCACCATTTAAAAGACTTGTGGAGTCAATACTTAGGTTAAACAGAGTCTGGTTACGTGGATATGAAATAATTTCCTCTGTCTATAACTATGCGAAATGAGAGAAAAGTCTCTGAGTAGCAGTTCACAAAAACATAAAGGTTAGATTACTACATATATAGAAAAAGACAGACCCCCTACCTACAATACCCATACACCAGTCAATAAATTCTTAAACCTCTAAGTGAAAATCCATAATAACACCAGAACAAAACATAATAGAGTATGGATATAATAATGGCTGGTAAAGGCATTCTAAAAGTCACTCAAAACATAGAAATAAAAAGACTGACAAGCCTGATATGTAAAAATAGACAAAACGTTGATAACCCAAATACATGGAGCTCTTACACTTCGATCAGAAAAAGATAAACAGGTTGAGTGCAGTGGCTCACGCCTAATCCCAGCACTTGGGGAGGTCAAGGAGGATGGATCACCTGAGGTCAGGAATTCGAGACCAGCCTGGCCAACATGGTGAAACTCTGTCTCCACTAAAAATACAAAAATTAGCCAGGCATGGTGGTGCACGCCTGTAGTCCCAGCTACTCTGGAAGCTGAGGTGGGAGGATCGCTTGAACCTGGGAGGCAGAGTTTGCAGTGAGCTGAGATCGTGCCACTGTACTCCAACCTGGGAGACAGAGACTCCATCTCAAAAAAAAAAAAAACAAAAAAATAAACAATACAGTAGAAAAATGGGCAAGTCATAGACAGTTGATTCACAGAGAAAAGAAATACAAATGACCAGTAAGGTTATGAAAAGATGTCCAGTCCCAATAGCAATAAAGCAAATGCAAATTTTGAAATATTGTTTTCTATCACTTAGCAAAAAAAAATTTTTTTTTTTTTGAGATGGAGTCTCTCTCTGTCACCAGGCTGGAGTGAAGTAGTGCAATATCAGCTCACTGCAACCTCCGCTTCCCGGGTTCGAGTGATTCTCCTGCATAAGCCTCTAGAGTACCTGGGACTACAGGTGCGTGTGCCACCACACCCAGCTAATTTTTGTATTTTTAGTAGAGATGGGGATTCATCACGTTGTCCAGGATGGTCCTGATCTCCTGACCTCATGATCCATCTGCCTCGGCCTCCCAAAGTGCAGGGATTACAGGCCTGAGCCACTGCACCCCGGCTCTCAATTAGCAAAAATTTTAAAAGCTGATAGTATCTACTGTTGGCAAGGATGTGGAAAAACAGGTATTCTCACACACTGTTGTTGAAAGTTAAATTATGACATCACTTTTGGAGGGTGATTTGGCCATATCTATTAAAATATTTTATTGAGATAAAATTTATACCCATAAAATTTATCACATTA